TTCCTTACTAGGGCCTAATGATACCTTATATTTCATCAAAGTGTATAGAGGAGGACTTCTACGGATAGCTTACTATGGGACTGCCCAACACTGACTTGAACTGCCCAACACTGCCGAGTCGGGACCCTCATTTTTTAGGATTAGTTCACCCGTTTCGCCGCTAAATGGACGCCAATTGTTTAGTCCATAAACTGCACTATTTGTAACGGTTTGCTATTGCGCATGGGGTCGAAGTTCAACATTTCATTGTCAAAAGCAACAGGGAAGGGTGAAATATAAATTTCAGAAATATTTGATGTAATATGCGCTTTATACTTTACTTTTATTGTATTTCTTTAATATGTAATACATGAATATCTCACAAAAAATATAAACATATTTAAATAAATTTATATCATACAGTGGTAACTTACATTTCTCATTTATTTATATTACTTTGCATAAATCTTACTTAACTATTTAATTGATTTCGTTATTTCGTTAACAAATATATTTTTAAAGCTTTATATAAAATATGTAAAAATGTAGATATAAACTATGAGATAACGTAATAACAGCGGAAATATACAGTGCATAATTTACAAAAACAAAAGAATAAATATATTGAATAAGCTACGATTGCGCGTGTCGTTTAATAAAATACATCACAATGCTACGTTTTCTTATTTATAATTACAATAAATAATTCTTTTTATTCGAACATCACTTTTAATTATTTAAATACCAATAAGAAAAATAAATGTTGCTGTCTCAAAGACATTTAAAATGACATACTTTAGCACAGCAATACTTTATATTAATATTTCTTAAAAAACCTCTATATTTTAAATGAAAGACCAATTTATTAATATGATAAAAAATATTTCAAATATATAATTATCTAAGTATTTACGCAAAATACTTATACAAGCATAAAACATAGGACTCAAAATTTTATAGAAACTATATCAGTACAAACAATTCTCAAAATGAAACAAATATTTCATCTTTATACAAAAAAAAACGCTACATAGTTTGTTTAAATTATACTACAGTAATGTAATAAAGCTCATTTAATATTTATAAGTAAAAGACGATGTACGTAGAATTAACCTGTTAATTACTATGCCAAAACATGCAGATATCTCTGATTATAAAGTTCTGTTGTCAACGCGCCTATAATTACTGTTGCATTATGTAAAGAATTAGCAGGATCTCTAATTAACCTAATAGATCGTTCTATATCACCTTTGAGCTCCAAATATTGTTTATTCAGTACAAGTCCTTCCAGAGTTTGCATTGCTTTAATAGCTTCTGAACTAGGCCGAATTTCAACTGCATCTGGGTCAGTTCCTGTTGCTGCTACACCAGGTGAGTAAGGTGTATACCTCACTAACTGTTGCTCTGATTTTGATTCAGGTAACTGTGCCAGGCAGTACACTGCTACTGCACGACTTAAAAATCTACATCTAAGAAAATATTAAAGGTACAAATTTTAAAATAAATACAGTAATGCATTTGTTATCAACTCAATAATTTTGGTACTGATAATAAATTCGATCATAATTGTGTATAATTTAGAAACATACCTAATTGAAAGCGGAGAAGCTTTTCTGAGACCAATTGCTCCTAATATGCCCCATCCTTGTCCTCCATCGTCTGCGACTGCTAATAAAGTGCGTGCTAAACCTCTAAGAGCCCTAACCGCGATTGTGGTATTCTCACTATACTGACATTGTCTGTACGCTAATTCACATGCTTTAGCCCATAGAAGAGGTAATTTTTCTGCATTGACATCCCTGAATAAAAAATAATACTAGTTATACATAATCGAACATGTATCTATTCTGCTTTAATATTCTTTTAAAATGTCTAATATTATTTCCATATGAGCATTCTGTTATTATACTATTTTACTGTTAAACTATTTCAATGTACTTACGTTGCCTTAATAGTAGAAATCCAATCGATTAAACTAATAAGAAGCATTCCTTCTTCTCTGATATCTCTACATAACGGAAGTCGCTTAAGTAAAACAGAATACAAAGCAAGAAGTCTTCCTTCAGAAATTAATATCGACTCCAATGGTGGCTGTCTAGGTACTACCGATTGCAGAATTGTTAAAACTGAAGCCCACGTTGGTGGGACATCTTCCATTGCTATAATATAAATGAAACTTAGCAAATATTAAATATAAAAATTAGTAATTGTATTTTCATTTTCATATGTTAAAAATGTCCTCACTTGTAACTGAATACGTACCATTAAATTTAAAATATGCTTCTAATGCAGCTTCCATTAATTCTCCAAGTATGGATGATGAAGTAACCGTTGTCGAAATGACTTTAAGTATACCTATAAGAATTGGGTTAGTGGCTGTTCTTTCTGAAAGCCACGACGTCCAACTAGTACGTAGATGTTCCATAAGGAATCCACTTTGATTCATAGTATAAAGTAATTCAGTTACTAATAAACTTGCTTCTGCAATTTGTTGTTGTTCTGAAACAGCTAAAAGATTATTCTTACTTACATTAGTGTTTCTATAATAAAATAGTAGTTAAGTATTTCGTACTTACTATTCAGAATAATGAATTCCATATCGTCTAACATTTGTAATAATATATTGGTAAATGCTTTTGGACATGTGGATATCATTGACTTATGCCGAGTTGAACACGTGATCAACAATTTGACCGAAGAACGAATGTATATTTGTCTCTTTTTTAACGTAGTTGGATGAAAATGAGTTATTGCAGGGTCATAGCCTGCCGCAAGCTTTAATAAACTATTCGACAAAGTTTATTAGAGAATCAATTTAAAAAAATTGTAAAATCTAAGTAATATAATATAATTATACGTACTTGTATACAGCAGTGTCTATAGCATGACTTTGATCATCATCAATACAAAGAACAACTTTTGGATCGCAACTCATGACGTACCAATTAATTACGTGATCGTATGCGGCTGCATCTAGTAGATGCCAAGAAAATTTCTCCGCTTGAGTAATTAAATTAATTGCCTTATCATCCTGAAATATAATATAATCCCAAATTTATATTGGATATGTAAATTATCTAACTAAAAAAATACACAAAATTTGAGAAGGAACGCTGTCTAGTACGTGATAATTACCTGTTTAACATTTGGTTCGTTCGACAACTTTACTAATAGATTTAATAAACAAACGTGCATTTTTGCTATAACAGCTACTGACTGCGTTGTTAACAAATCACTTATCCAAGCTGACCAATTTATGCTTATAAATATACTTCCAAGAAATAAGTGGCTGTCTGGCAAATATTGATCAACAACTTTTACCATAAACTCTACGTCATTTACAGTAGGATAAAATTTGTTCCACGGTAATGATAAGAAATTGCCATGAATAACATTTAAGATGTGATTTTTGACGGAAGCATGTGCAAAATTAGTGACATAAAATTGCCAGATAAAACAAAGTATTTTACTAGACGTCGGCAATGTATCGATAATGAAGCGGATACATTCAACAAACATTGCTACAATTTTGTTGGCGTATAAACCGTCTGTGATAATCCATGGTAACAATACAGATCTATCATCTGTAAGTTGTTGAATCCATGCGGCAGTTGGTTCCTTCAAATTTCTTGTCCAGTAGGGACTAACCCATGGCGAATACATTTCGCATAAGACAGGCCATATCTTTTCGCACACTTCAAATAAGAACATTAGGAATAAAAATGACAGAATATTTCGCTAAACATCTGTATATAAAATATGTTATTTCTACAAGAAAATTCTGTCTCTTTATTTGCTAGGAGGATTTATATAGCTATAAGAGATGATTAAAATATAAAGAGACGGAACTTTCTCATAGATTTAATAAGTTTGAAAACCTTACACTGATCTCCCAAAGAACCTCTATCAAATTGAAGAGTAAGTGCAACAAGAGCATGACCCACCATGCCAAGAAATATGCTTAATGGTTCATTGTAAACCCTATATTTTGGATATAATCCATAGAGACCATACTGCAAACGCTCTTGCATGAAATGTTTACTTAATAATATAGCTGTATCATGAATCTGCAATGAAACATAAAATATATAAAATTGTTATAGTTGCATTAACAAAATATTCAATAGAGATAAATAATTTTATATGTTTGAAAACATACTTCTTGTAGGGAAAGAAGCCTTTGCTCAGTTGCATAGTGACGAATATCATCCCTAATTTTAGATAAATGAATTGAAAACGTAGTTTTTTGTTTGCCACTAAGAATTCTTAATAAATCATGCCAAACATCTAGAGATAAGTTTTGACTTTCACTACTTTTCAGTACAGCATTCAGAACCTCACCATAGTGTTCAGGAAATTTATGTAACAAAATAAGTTGTAGATGTTTTCTAAATAACTGCAAGAAAATATTTTTTGTTACACTGAAATTTATACGAATAAAATTAAAAATTGAATGCGTTTTATGACTACCTCGTGTAATATCAGTTTGTCATCTGGTGGATTGAAACCTATGTTGCAAAGTGCTCTAGACACTAAATCTATGAATGTTGAACGTTCACTTAATCTTGGACGTTTATAATTTAACCAAGATCCTATATCAAACTGAAATAGGAATACATACATTAGAAGCTACAAATAATACAGGGTACCAGAAATTTCATATATTTAAACGTACTTTGGACAGCAATACGAAACAAAGATCGATATTTGTGCCTGTAGATAATTCAACGACAGTTTGGTACATTTGCAACAATGCTGAAGCGCCTCCAGCAACAGGTGTAAAGTAAGGTCCGAGTAAACCACCCAGATTTTGTTTTTGTATTATAGTGTTCAATAACTGTGGAGCCTGGCTTTCTTCTCCATTAATAAATGACTATTGAAATATTTATATTAAGATTTGTCCATTAAATATTTTTGTCATACAATTTGGATGTACATACTTGCCCTAATTTCTCTAAACAAGTGGTAATAAGTTGTTTGGTCGGTGGACACAAAGATGCATCCTCTGTGTAACATTCTATGAGATAATAAAATAATTTAATTCCGCTTTCTTGAAGTTTGTGTAGGACCGTTGTATTTTCGTTAGTTCGACTTATCGATATTTCATGTTCTAATATTCTATAATACGTTTAAAAAATTCATTTTAATATTAATATAGGCTTTGATATACTGTATAAAGAGCATCATATACATACGTGATTAAATGATCTATAGAAACACATCCTTGAGTTACTTTACTAGGTGGTGGCTGACTAGCCTTTATCAATAAATTTTCATACTCTCCTCTATTTTGAGTGATCATGTGATTAATGTTTTCGTTAATATGAGATTCTGGTGCCTACATATTAAAATACTGTGTGAATAATTTGATAATAGTATACTTAAAATATGTGTAAATTAATTCATACATATAAAATAATAAAGAACAATTAATTAGTTCTAATTACCTTAATTCTAATTACTGCTGGACCAGCACAATGAACAGTAAGCGGTGTTCCTGACCTGACCTGTTTCTGATTTGGACTTATCGGATCACATAGTGCATGCAGTGTTACTTGGTTCTCGTGTTCTTTATAAAGCATAGGTATCAATTCCAAGAAACTAGAGTCTACTGCTGTATGCTCCGAAACTAATAAGTTATACGTTTGAGCGTAATCTAATATTACTTTAAAGTACGGTTTAACGAAGTTAATAACCGACGTAGAATTATATAAATCCTCTTTAAGTATGCAATTAAACTCTGTTTGATGTCGATTTAAAACTGGTGGTGGAACCGGATGTTCGTATGTAGTCAACCTTTTGAAAATTCTCTGTAACGGTTCAACTATTTTTGGCAGCATTGTTGATGCATCTGTTTCTTTTGGGAGTTGGCTTTCTTGATCTCTGCAGCACATACGCTCCCATTCTTTAACTGCCATTATTTGATTTTGTTGAATTGTCGAATAATCAACGTATTCTAACCACGGAGCCTATTTGGGTAAATATAAATGATATAAAAATTGTACACTAATAATAAGTGAATTATTATATTTATATTTTACCCAATCATCTTGAATAAGTCGTATCAATTTTTGTGACATATATTGTGGGGGTAAGGCTGGCAAATAAAGACTTGGTTCTTGCAACCTTGGTTCTTCAAGCCATAAACTTAAAGTTTTATAGAACCTACAAAAATATTTTTGTAATATTGTTTCTAGAAATTATATCATTAACCATATTTCAATGTTACACACTTGGCTGCATTAAAATAAAATATTCTTCTTTCATCACTAATTGGCTTCCCATTATCCAAATCAGTCTCCCCTTTTAACTGAAAGTATGTAGTAGTGTCATATAATCGCTTTTTCAGTTTTTTTAAATAACTCAAATTAATCATGCCTTCAAAAAATTTTTCACCAATTCCACAATGATCAATAACTCTATTAAAAAAAGTAATTACATTGTAATTTTCATGTGTGAATTGCTTTAAATTATGATTGATCCGCTTAGTTTAAAACAAACCCTGGCATTGTTGGAACTCTAGCGAGAAATAGAGCAAAAAAATTTTGCCAAAATAGAGGGAGAATAGGGTGATCCATGGGTGTCTCTAGAGCCTGTTGAGACCAACGATATATAAATAATCCATTCACGCCAAACGGTTGCATTTTTACCGAAATGCAAGCTTTCTGAAATATTAAATAAAAATAAAAATATGTATTATATGTCTATTAATACAATTTTGTAACATGATACATACTTTGACAGCAGTATCTAATGAAATTTTAGGCTGTATTGATAACTCCTTCAAAATTTCACGCCACAATCCAGTTTTGATTTCTCTGTTATATTGTTCAGTTAGCAAAATTTGATAAGCAACCCAAATTGACTGTGTAGATCCTTCTAAGACACTAGTAGAATTCGATGAACCAGTTACCCAATTTAAAAACGACCCAAATGATGCTATTACATTTCGATTAGATGTATTCTGAAAATAATTGGGACTTAATATCATACTTTAATGTAAGTATTTTAAAACTTCTACTTAGTGCCGAACGTTTCCTCAAACAAATTCTAACTGAAGGGAAGAAATCATACCTCATCACTTTCCTGTGCAGTAAGCTAGTGAAATAGATATACTATATAAAATTAATAATATAACGGAACTAAAATAAAGCAATATACATTTAAAGTATTCTTACAGAAAGAAGACGATGAAACACATTTTCCACCATTGACTTTGCATCCACATAAAAGAACGTAGCGCTAATCACTGTGTCCATCAAATACATTATACTTTGATCTTTATTCCAATCTGGTACCAGTACAAGTACATTTAACCATAAATATACAAAATGTTTCGGCGTTTGCAAATGATATCTGTAAAACAATAATTTAATACTTCGCCATTCATTTGATAAAAAATTATTATTCACCTTTTGAAATTATACAAGTGCGAATGTATCATATTTGAAAACTGTTTCAATATTATTCCAGGAAATTCAGGAGCTATAAGACTCTTAGCCATTTTCATGTAGGATCTGTCAGCCACAATCAGAGACATAATTAGACTTATAAATTTCTCATTCTTAAGTAATGAGTCGACACACTCCAAGAATAACGGTATGATATGATGTAAACATATAAGTATCTGTTCATATTTACAATAAGATTGTAATATTTGTAATTGGCTGAAACCTTTTGTACATATCAATGGTACAGAGTGGCCCCATAACGTCATAATTGTTGCTACATAACATGCAATTGGTTGTTTTTCCCTTATGCCAATGGTTAAGATTTCTAAATATGAATCTCTATCCATATCAGGTACAGTAGAGAATGCTTCAGTGGGATTCAAAAGCGCATTGTGACAAAGTGCTTCTGTTTGATCAAGTTGATGTAATCTAAGTCTTGAAACCATATCCCAAGCCCACAATGAAAACGCATGCTGAGCACTCTGAGGCCTTATCATTGACGAAACCTATACATTTAAAATTAATATTAAAGATAAGGATTAAGAACCTATTTTTTATACAAATTTTTTTATGCGTGCCTGTTTAACGCCTTCTGATAATATTGACGCAGTCTGTGTAAGAGAATCAGGTACATATTTCATTGTCAACTCCACAATCAATAATGCCGTACGTCTATGTAAATTAATAGGGAGATATAAAGTACCATTCCTGTAACAAACATGTTAATGTTACACATAACGTGTTTTTTCATTCATACAATATTTTTTCATTCTGATTTCAATGTAATGATATCAAAAATTATAAATTAAATTAAGACGTTCTTACTCATCAAATCCCCAATTTAAATGAGTAAGAATTATACGAGCTAACTGATTTTCAGTTGATGTTAATGGATGCTGATGCAACCAACCAGAAAGAATTTTTATATCTTCTTCCTGCGGAATCCATTTATCTATCTTCAATTCAGTAAACAGATATAAACTTAGCTGAAAATAATAAGTGTAACATTAGTTAAGTTAAACATTGATTGTTTATAAAGAAATATAATAGTATTTTTATAATTATACCTTCCCGGCTAATACAAAATTGTCACTTAATTTTTGTAAAATATCTGATAAAAGTGAAGGATATTTATTTGTTAAATTTGATAAAAGGAATCGAGCATCCTTCGAGCAAGAATGTTGAGTCTTTTTACTAAGAAATCCAATCTGTAAATAACTATTGTTATTGAATATCCACAAGTTATAAACAATATAACTAATGAGTACATACTTGAAATAAATCTATAGTTGCTGTCTTCACAAAATGATAATCCTTTTCAACTCTTGCCATAGCCATATTAGTAAAAGTTGTTAAAAGGAAATATGATTCATCTCCTGGCATAGTACTTAACTTCTCTTCAAACTGTTCACGAAGTTGGGGACAGTTTAATTCATTTTCCCAATCTTTAAAACCATCCAATTATATATTATTCAGTATCCAATTATTATTAGTATTATATTCGTAGTATACTTATTGCATAATTACACATACCGCGCATACATGTATTAGAAAGATATACATCTATTTGTGCACAATCAGTGTGTAAAATATAAAATATCTGCCACAAAGTATTCGAAGATATTAAATGATATGGAACGGTAGCTAAGTATTGCCATGCCCCTAAACGACGTGAAGAAAATATACATAGAATTGCTCTTAGAAAAAAACAATCAAATTCAAGTTGAACTTTAAACAACTCTGATGTGTCCGTAATCTGCAAAGCATAATTTTAAAAATTATTTATGCTAAGATATTATGAAATATTCTAAACCATGGTAATTCTACCTGGCTTTTATCAAATTCTTCCCATTGGTCACTGGCATATTGTACAATATCTCTAATCAATGCGCTTAATCGTTTAGTCAATTGTCTGTATCTTGGAAAATCGTACGTTTTTAGTCCTTGTTTTAACAGTTTAACAACAGTCGTAAAAAATGCGAATAGGCGTAGTAAGTAATGGTGAGTAATATAGCGTTTGTCTTGATGATAACCATTGCTCTGACATTGTATGTATAACATATGTTCAAACATTTTATCAAAAGGAATTTGACGCAGCAAAGAAATAAGGTCACTTTCAAATAAGTTTATGCCAGCATTAGCAATATCTTCATCTTCTTCTCCTTCTTCGTCTAATATGACCCAAACTGTATCGCTGAGATCACATGATGCATCTTGTAATGATATTTGTACCTAATGACACACACTATGAAATTTATATAAAGATTATAAAGGTTATTATATTAGAATAATTTATATACCTGTTCAATAAATTTACATCTTTCTTTAATTGGTAATAAAATAACAGCCAATGTAGCTATCATATGATTTAAATACATATCATTCCAGGGACATATGTTTAATTTATCAAACTGTTGTGGTACTGGAGTTTGGACAAAACTAGATGCCCAATTCATTACTCCTCCAGGACATCTTAAGATATGATTCAGTAGAAATAAATGATCTTGCCAGGTTGCTATCCTCAATAAAATTGCTACCAATTTTGTGAGCCACTCTCTAGTTTCCATTACAAACTTTCCATCTTTCAATAATTTCCTTTGAAAGTTAAACAGTATAGTAATGCATGTTCTGATTTCTAATAATTGTGGAACAGTATGTGATAATGGATGAATTGATAACAGATTTACAGGTGCATTTTGAGAAAGATTTACAAATTCCTTGCAAGAAGTGCATACTCTTTGAATATAATGTTCAATTTGTAATTTTAATACTTCTGCTTCATAACAATATAAGGCTTGAGTATTGTGTAACATTTCTTTTATTGCTGATAAATTTCTGGACAGATTTACCAATGCTCGATTGTTAAAACGTGCTATGGAATATTCATGACTAGCAACGACTGGATTCCCATCCTGACATTCCCCTGATTCAGTAATACAGGCCTTATCTAATTGCCACAGTTGCTTTTGTATTTCTCTAGAAGCTTTTTTCAGTGCTTCCAGTTCATGTGAGTTAATAATTACATGGTTTCTGACACGAAGATAATTCATTAAAAGCTCATACAATTTATGTTGTTTAATTGTATTATTTCTGAGTTGAGTTTCCGTAAATTCTGAGATAAATGTATCAATAGATGCCAATTCATCATTTACATATAATGATTCCAATTGGGTCTCAGTAAATGGTATAATTTTCTTAAATGTGGTATGTATATCTTCTTTCGTCTTAACAGAATTTACTTGTGTTTTAGTTGTTTCTTTTTCCTGTGTCAAATCCTTCAAATCTGATGAACTTAAACTAGGGTGGCATTGATCAGAAATTGTACTTTCATTATGGCAAGATTCAAGTGCAGTATCTTTCAATTCTACTGTGGAAATTGATGTTTCAATATTATCTATTTCTTTTTCTACATTATTTGTCGATGGCATATTCTCTGAAACACTTTCAATTCCCCCGTCAACTTCATCCTGAAGTAAACATATTTATATGTTATAAAACATTATAAGTTATAAAGTTAAAGAATAAACTGCTTACAAATAGAAGTTACATACTCTGATATCTGTATCTTGTGTACTACATTTTGCATCATTTTCCATCATTTGAGCAGATTGTTGTTCATAAATTTCAGTGTCAATTGCTGCAGAATGTAGTTCACTTTCCATATTTTCGATACATTCTCCCTTAGGATAAATAACAGAGGATTCATTTGAAAAACATTTGTGTTTCTCCACCATTGGGACCTCTGGTACATGTTGTTTTATAGGGATCCTCTTAGTTTTATCTTTTGCTTTTTTCTAGTAAAATAAAGAATAAACAAAGTTGCAAAGTGCATTTCAAAACAAAGAACACAAAATGTATTATAACCTATATGTTTTCAAAACAAACAAATGTCACATTCATATAATTATTACGAATACATTTTTTACTCAATCTTAACTCAATACAATTCAATGTTTACATAAATCTATTTAACACGTATACTTTTATTATTTATTAACTTTGAATATGAATAGCAATACATTAACCTCATTAACAACAAAAATACATAAAATATACATTGAAGTTTCACCTGTCGCTTTAACATTTCCATCGTTTATACATATAATTTTATGTTACACCTCCTAGACACATAGAATATTTGTACAATGTACAAATATGATATAAGTAATGTTTATTCCACAATGAATTTCAATAACACTACTTTACGCGTAACGTTACAGTTTAATATTTATTATTGATCCTTATATAACTTCCTACGTATGAAAACATATTAAAATTTAACACTGACTGAGTTGTATACCGTGTACAACATTGATACTTTCAATAATTAATTTTAGCATTTTACTAAATTTGCATGGAAAATTTCTCACAATAGCTGTCACGAAAATGACATATTTTCAATTCCTAGCTTATCTACTGAGGCTTCGACACAAATAAAATAAAATGTTACCATCTAATGATAACAAGTATGAAAGCTATGTACACTTTCGTGCAATGTACGCTTTCTTTAAAGTAAAAGGGAGACCCGTTCGTCCAATTTTTAAGAATAAACTTAAATTTACAAATTAGGAATTAAACATATATATACATATACGTTTTATTAATGATGAATTTATTATATATCCTATTATAATATACAATAAATATTTCATATGAAGTACAATGTTCTGTAATCTATAAAACTATAAATAGACAAGTTACAAATATTGCAAAAATGTTATTCATTATAAATAACATTTATTACTGTTGTCACTAAATTTTTATAAATATAACAAATTGGGATTTTTAAGGAACACCATTACATTAAAACTAATAGTTTAAATAAATTTTAAAATATTTGGCGGGAATTTTAATTTAATGCGCTTTGTTACATCATAAATTTATAGAACAATAAGTGTCATTGTATTTGAGAGAAACACTTTATTGAAATACATTAATTTGGCGATATATAACGAGTAGAATGTCATGTTTTTTGTAGAATATCATTACTATAAAAACCAAAATGAAGGAGAAATCTTTTCTTTATCATCCCTTGTGGGGATCGAACCCACGACCTTTGGATTAGAAGTCCAACGCGCTATCCTCTGCGCCAAAGGGACTGTGCACTTTGGCATTTACTATTATAAACAAACAGTAATCAGCGTTTAATCGGTAATAAACGATGGCATTAAAAACTACAAAATCATTGTCTTTATTAAAAAGTAAGGATCATCCACTATTCTTTAAAACGTAAAGTACTATTATAAGTTACATCAACGCAAATCCAAGGATATCAGATAAGGTTGTGTTCACTCAACACTTTACCTAGAAAATTATTTTTAAATGCAATAATGTTTCTCAGTAATACGTAAGTAAAACGTTATAACTCAGTAATACTACGTAACCGAATGTCAATAAGATTGATATGTTATTGATGTAATGACGAGTATAGAGGGAATGCGCGCGAAACGGTGGTTTTATACAGATAACGATATCCGGGAAGACATTACTCATGTGCATAAACGTTTTATAATTTATGAGCATACGTGGTAAAGTATCAAACAGAAAACGTTTCACCTACTTTGGTAATGAATGACTAAGTTTATTTATGTACAAAACTTTTCCATTCAATATCGGTTTTATGAACATGGTTATGGTTTGTACCCCTGTGTAGGTTATGGCAGACATGATGAAATATAGCGGTTCGCAAATCACATCAAATTTCTCAAAATACCATACTCCAAAATTCTTAAGTTACTTTTTCGTTCTTGAAGATTGTTAAGTACTTAAATTCTAAAAATTCCGAATGATTATACTTTGCATTTAAATGCATGTAGCCCTGAGGATAAATCTGCTTTATCAGGATCTACCATTCTGAGAGAGGTAAGTCTATAGTTTCCGGTTTTGTATATACTTTGAAGTTATTAATCGTCGGTAAGTACAATGTTTCTCAGCCAAATTAAGAGTTTTAAAGTTTTAAATTAAATTTTGTGGATAAATGGCTTCTAAATATTAAATGGGAATTGTAGCACTTAGCTCGATATTATTCTTTCAGATCTTTAGAATCTGCAGAATATGATATCGATTACCAGGTCACACCACGAGGAGGTGGCTACAAGTAGTGACCCACCCTACCCACAAAATCTCGACCACCCACCCATAAGTACTTCACCTGTCAAGCTGTTGCCAACTTGAAGAATAAGTTTTAATTGAACTTACAATAATTCTTACACAACTGATATAACCTTGATTTACATAGTCTTTTAATATCATATACCATTCAAAAAAATATTTGACACATTCTTTTTATCGACAATGATACACCTTGAGGAAGCAGAACTGACCTTGAAGTTAGGGGTTGCAAATCGTATTTCATTAAATATCTTGGAAACTATTTGTCATAGAAAAAAAGTTTATAGGAACAATTTGTGTGTTTTTAAATGACAAATCTATCTATGTAAATAAATTTTGGAAAAAATAAGTTTCACTGAAGATATTAAAAAATATATACATTTCTAAATTTATTTGATAAAAGATAGACAATTTTTATGGAAAATTGTTGGAGTTGCATATCCGTATAAAAAATATAAATAAATTAGACTTAATTTTACTTTTTGCAATAAATATTATTATACTTGTTAATAGAATAATATTTATTACAAGGATGAAATTGGAGTTTCAATTTACACATTTTTTATACTGAAATGAAATTATTTGCACACACAATTTTTCACAAAAATTGTTCAGTACGTTTTATAAAAAATAATTGTACAATGTGTTAATTTTTAATGTACCTTCTGAGTAAAAGTTTATTTACATGGATACATTTGCTATTCAAAAACTCATAAATTGTTCAATTTATACTTTTTTTCTGTAAAACGTAATTTCTGAGATATTTTACAAAACATAGATTTGCTACTCTAACTTTAACCGTCGTTTGTATCCCTGCAGAGTGAATCATTGCTGATAAAAAATGTTAATATATTTTGAGTATTATACGACCTTGAAATGACTAAAATATCAGGGTATATCACTTGTGCCACATTTTATATTAACTTGACATTTGTTAAAACATTCTTTACAGTTTGCTACTTCAATTAGCAAAACCTAAAATAATTTTTGTTGGTAAACAAAGGGAACAGAAAAAATATTTTATAAATCATAAATATTGTGTAAATAAACCTTAAAGTAAATTGTATATTTAATGATAAAAAAGGGAATCCTGAAAACAAAGAAAAAACATGTACAAAAAATATTTTAGTATAATAAAACCCTGAAAACAAAAACAATAATTGTTATAACATAATGACATAATCACATAAACAAAGTGAAACCTTGGTGAATTATTAGTTCACCAGACATAAAAGTAATGATATTAAATAAAATGAAATACGATTAACAATTAAAAATTCATCAAGTAAAAAATATAATAAATTGTGGAATTCAATAAAGAAAGGAAGGGTTTTTTCAAGGAAGTCATTTCAACAAATCAACTTTATTGTACAATTCTTAATTCTCTTCGATATAGTCTCTTCTTTCTTCAGCATATTGCTTCAGTATAATCACCTAAGAACACACAACTATTGCTCTCATAAAAAATGAGAGAAAAATAAAATAATAATTCAATAAAAATATAAAATGCATTAAAAACTTGTAAACATAAATAAAATCTTCAAAAGGAGGTATACAAATAATAGTTTAAAGTTGTTGAAATCCTGAAATTTAATATAAAGAGTCATGTATTATTTATTTCATATAAAAAGGTCATTTGTTATTTATTTGACATAAATAAACCCAGAAATAAAACATGGTAAATGCATTAATAAACGTCGATAAAAAATGAAGTGAAATTCATAGAAAATATTTGTGTTATTTTAGCATAAATCATAAGCAAAAAATCATAATGCAATAACATTAAAATAAATGTTATACATATTATGATTTTACATACCTTTATTTCTTGATGTGTGCTGTAAATTGTTAGCTACAAAGTTAAGAATAACATTTTGGGTAGTTTTCAATTAATTCAATGTAAATAAATTTGGTTTTAGAAATAAATAAATGAGCGGGAGAATAAGATCAATTGTTTTGTGCCATAATTTTAAAAATTCGTTGATTGTCCCCGCGATATTGCGTGGACGGACATTTAACGTCGCATACGATATCGCGTGAGCGGATATTAAACATGTTAACATAAATCAAGAGTTCCTTATATAAAATATAAGTGATATATATTAAAAGTGTTCAAAATAACATATAATTAAGAAATAAAGCATTGTAACATATTTAGTTTAATAACCGTATTAAATAATGTTTGTTGTAATTATTTTTCAAATTAAATTGACGAATTCGAAATCCGCGGACGAAAGAAGTTGAAACAGAATAAAATACGAAATTCGAAATATCAATAATTGTTTGTAAATATTTATGGACGTTATTATTATACACGTGCATGCAATGCTATTAATATTATAACCGCTGTTAATCGTTCGGTCTACAAACCGACACACACATAGTAAAATAAAAGGACTTACCCACTGGAGATTTGGACATTTCTACATACTTTTTCTTTGAAGATTCACCGTTAATTGATTCATCCGAATCTATTTTAGTATCACTCTCCATCGGAAGATCGAAATGAAATTTTCGGTTCACTAGGAATTTTGATCAGTGACCAACTCCTCTGTAAAACAAAATCGAAATAATTGTCGATTTCTTTTTATCGATTCACAATTGGAATTACATTGTAACAAGCATTTCTCAAATTTCAAATTTTGTACATTTCCAAATTATCAACTTTTTTAGTTTTCAAATTTCTGAATTCTAAACTTTAAAGTTCTGTATTTTTAAGATTTCAAAGTTCTAAATTTAAAAATTTCTAAATAACCAAATTTTCAAATTTTTTAATTAAAAAAATATTCAAATATTCAAGTTCTTAAATGGTGATTTCTCGTGATCTCACTAATACATTTATTTATAAACACGATTAACGCAATTACAATTATTCTTAACAAATAAATGCGTATAAAAATGGGCATTCAAAATTACATATCGAATAATGTATAGAAAATAATACGTATGGAATAACATAGAAAAACGTAACTACACACTTGTTCACAGTGTGAATTATTAATTAATGTTTGAAATTAATAATGAACTGTTTATTATATCAACAAAAAAACGAACCTTACTATAAAAGATGTTTCATTATTCCAAGATATCTTAGCTTTATTCACAGTTTTTACTTAAATGTGTAACCATGGAGAACATACTAGAAACACGTGGGCACGTGCACAAATACGCAAAAAACAACCCTGCAAAATGTATAAATGTATAAATATGTAGAATTATACGGAGAAATACATTATATAACGTACAATCATGTAATATGTAGGCAGAACAGATAAACGATTTTAGAAAGTAAAAAGAAGTTACTAATTCTTACCAGTACATCAGCGGACACATGCGAATTCCGTAACGGTCCCTACACGACTGACTAGTTTTGACCTGTTCAAGTTCAAGCATAATAACAAAAGGAGTTCGGGTACGCATTACTAACTTCGCGCAACTGCTTTCTTATTTCGTTAGCGGTGTACTTCGTCATTTGAAATTGAAAAATAACCGAAATCTTAAATTTGAAAATTTGTAAATATAAAAGTTTGTAAGTTATTTAATTTGAAAATTGATAAGTAGATTTCAGTAATTTCCAATGCTTATTTCTTTGGATTGCTAAATTAAAGACTGTTAAAATTTGGAAAATACTGAGAGGTGAGTTTACTCTATGATGCGTACTCGGTGCAATAAAAATACAGGTTATGTTAACTTTTTTTCAGGTATGTTAATTTATCACAGTAGTATAATGTTAACATAATTTATATTTTAAAAATCGTAATTTATATTTTAGGTGAAATAAAAGTATACAAAAAAAGTACGTATCTAACTTCTGTAAGAAGTTATAAGAAGCAAACAAAGGATTCAGAATTATGACTAAAATAAATATACAAGTCGTCGTAAAACCAACTTAGCCGTAAGACCTGTAAACACTTGCGTAGATTATTACTTTATTCGTAACCCAGTGTAGTAAAACGAAATTGGAAATCAATTACAGACAACAGAGCTCATCATCAAGCAACATTTACTGGAATTGAGATGAATTTCCGCTTTGTCTGCGTTGCGACGTTAATCCCAATTGTTTCATATTTGCGTGAAAATTACCTATCAGGATAATTCGACGTTGGGGTGATACCAATGGTAGTCGTATCACGAACCAATCGCGGACCAGGTAGAAATCAATGTAATTATGGGAGAACCAATAGGAATCTGTGCAATATGCGCATGCGTGTGTCTGATTGCGTAACGACCTATCGTTAATGTTCTTTACTGGGTTGCTATTGTGGATGTTGCAATTATTACAAACCTAATGATTTTGTTTAATGGCCATTTATTATTATATGTCCTGAAATAGTAATAATGGTACTTCAATGCTGCAGGGAAGTTGATAAACTTCAAGGTTCCGTTACTTCGTTGAAATTTATGCAAAACTGTTGCTACAAACAGCAATAAATTATTAAATATAAATAACTATAATCATACATTGAAATAGTAGTAATTTAACAAAAATTTAATAGAATAACAATTTTAATGTAACAATGACAATTTTAACAATAAGTTACAATTTTGTTATTAAATTTTCTGCTTAATTTCACTTAAGGTTCAAAATTTCAAATAAACTCTAAGATGCTGTTAAACTGTACAAATTATCTATAGTTTATAAGCAACATTTTATAAAGTTTTCTGTAATATACAAGCAATGTAACATTCTACATTATTTTATACAATAATATTTTATATTCTATATTATAATTATTTGTGACCTTGAAGGTCAATATTTTCATACAGCAACCTTAATAAATTTTGTAATTTAAAATAAGAAAAAGGATAGTAATTACTAATCTTAGATTCAAAATGAAGATTCCTATATTACAGGGGAATATCGGTGGAACGAAAATACGTAAATCGTGATAAGAATCAAACCCCTCAGAGGGTCGAATATTTCAATTGATGGACGAGAAAAGAATTCTACCGCGGATTGTTCAATGTGTAGTTAATCGTAAATACGCGAGATACTGCAAGATTAATATCTCTTCGGCAATTCTTGATACAAAAGACTGCTTTTAAATTACTATATTTTATACTGCTATGAACTTTACAGTTTTATTTTAGAAATTTAAGACCACCTTGGTTTCTTAAAAAAAAAGGTTTTAAATACTTTGTGTTTCAGAGAATTCCAGCAGATATAAACTCTAATTCTACTTATTATATTATGATCTTCAGATGACCTTGAAAAGTTGAGTTGAGGACTCAAGGTGACCTTCACTTCACTTCATAAATTCAGAAATTTTTCTTAACACAGGACTTATGTGTAAATTATTTTTTTATACAATTTTCTAAGACAGATTTTTATTGAATATATTTCATCAACTTCTACATTAAGTATTTTTTATTGCAGAGAAATCTATGGAACATGTTAATATTGTTAAACTTATAGTTTATTCATTTTCATTACAAGGACTGCAACTAAATGACATCAAAATTAATAATACTGTTAAAGAATGTTAATACAACATTTTTATTGCAAGTAACTAAGGATGGATTATAAATAAAAATTGCCTGGAACATTGTATGTATAAAAATTTTACAGATCTTGAGTACTAACTTTCACTGTAGAAGTTGCAACTAAGATTCATATTACTAATAATGATATTATGTTACTACAAATTTTTCAATATAAAAGAGCAACAATTCTTAATAGTTTGCAAACAAAAATTGTCTGATAAAGAGGAGGAACAATCACAACACAATAATAATCTGAATAAGTAATAGATTTTGTTTATTAATATCCAATGCAAAGATGAATACAGCATGTTAGCATACAAATTTGCATACAATTTCTTTTGTACAAAAGAACAATAATTATTTAACAGATATACAGAAAAATTGTCTGAAAGCCAATAGTTGCGAAGAACAGTCAACCTACAAACGAAAAAATAACAGTAACCTAACAAATCTTGTCAATAAAAGTAATATGAAATCAATAAAAAATTAAACGAAGAGCTGCAGGTATTAAATACTTTTTTTCCATATTTATGAAACGAGTCGGAAAAAATCCTATCATTGTCCGTCTCGATTTCACGGTGCAATTCTACATAATAATCAGTTTAGATTCAAGTGTTTCTCTTTCACAGACCATAAACGTCTGCAGGTGCTCTTTCGCAGAGGGGCGTTACAACGATGACAACGAAATTATTTGATACCGAAGAGATTGGGGGTGGTGGTACACCGCTGATAGTGGGGAACATCCATGGGGGTAGGGAGTACAACCGGAACATCCCTTCTCTCTATTTTCATACTAACCATGCAGCAAGAGAATGGACGTTCCAAGCAAACTATCCCAGATAACTGTGTTACTTCGTATTTTGAAATGTTGCAAATATAAAGTGCTCCAAAAATTCACAGTAAACATCAATTTTGTAAATAAAAATCGAGAAATTAAATTTCAAGCTTAATTTTGATATGTAAATAAAGTAGCATTAATGTGTTACATGTAAAATAAGTGTTGAAAGTGAACAAAATGTTTGGTTCTAATTCTTGATCCTTAGATCAATAAAACATTTCGTGATGGTAAAAAAACGATACCAGAGTAAAATTCAGAAATAAGATATTGGGAAAGTGACTGTTTTATTTTTATATCGTATAATTTTATATTGGTGACTAAATGTCTGCGAAAGCAGATGGACCGTCATCTCCGCGACAATTTTTTGCTCGAATTTATGGTCATCTTGAGACGAAGACGGTCGACGGTAATAAAAATGAGGAGCGATCGAAATCGAATTCGAGCACCGATTTTTCTACCGACGTTCTGTGCGATAGAAACACGGAAACGGATGTTTCGTGCAATTCTCCGGATAACGAGAGCACTCCAGTAAGCCGTGAAAATGTCTTATTCAATCTTTATTTTTATTATTTAATTTTAGAATTTCTTCGTCTTATAAGCTTTTTATGATTTTGTATTTGTATAGTTAATAGAGACTGTATAATAAGTATAAGATTTGTATAGTTAATAAGTTTCTGAGACTACTGATGAATAGAAAATTTTGTGAGATTTAAGCTGTAATAGGATTCAATTCAACTGATATTCATTTTCCTTATTTAATAAATTTTGGCTTTTATTGAATATTGTTATTAGTTTGAATATCAGTATTCTAAGTGTTACAAATATTATGTATTAGTAGTTTAAATGTGAGGGACATTCACATTTAATATTATGTACTATTAGGTGTGTTAAATGTTAGTAGTATTAAATATTAGTGTTGAATATCAGTATTTAGAACTTCAGTAATAAAGAATATTAATAATTTAAATAATATTAAAAATGAGTAAAAATACTAATTGTTAATAGTAGTACTACTAATACTAGTATTACTAATACTACTAATACTAACAGTTAAAACTACCAAATAAATATTAGTGTTATATATTAATTATTACAGTCTTAAATACTACCAATATTCAACACAAATATTGTACAATTAAACATTAATATTCTAAACATTACTAATATTGAATATTACTATTCTGAACATTACTAACATTAAATATTAGTATTCTAATCATTACTAACACAAAATATTACAATTTTAAATACCAAAAATAATTGATACACATCAATATTCCACATATTAATGTCTTGAATGTTTACCATATTATTACATTGCATAGGTATCACGTACAAAAGAAGCATTTTCGGAACGAAACGAAGAACAAAACAATAAAAAAACCCAACTAAGAAACGAAAAAGAAGAGAACTCAAGCTTCTTCAATTTACGATTACCACTCATTCACGAACTTCTACCAAGAACACTCAGTGATCCATTACGTTTGACACACATAACATATCCGATCACATTATCGTCACATTTTCATAACTTATCATACCTTCCATCTACGGAACATCATCTACAAGGATTCTCCGCTTTTTGTAAGTATTTTGGCCATTTTTTGATACTTTACTACCACCGACAGTCAGCCATTTTGAACGAAGACTAAAACCTTTTTCATCAAACGTTAAACTTAAAAATATAATTTAAATAAATACAAATTGAGTCCACATGCTTAAATATATTTTCGTCATTACTTATAAAAATATATTTAAGGTTTAAGACATGAAAATATATTTAAGGTTTGTCTCAAAATTATGTGTATATTTTTATAAACTCATGCAACCTAATGGATTTTATAAAAATTTCCCAAAATTTTGTTGATCAAATCTTTATCGATAACAATTATATCAAAGTTTGTTAATATCGTTAAGAATAAAGTAAATATGATTGTAAATTTATTTTTATTACGTCGCTGTTTGAGAAATGTAAATGCAAACGATTTACGCAATATACACGGTAACATCAGTGATTAGTTTTCATTATACGCTGAAACACATACTCCCTTTCTTTACAATACGTATTATCGAAATAAATATACGTGGCATAACGCGACACAACAAGCATACGCCCACGTTTAAAGGGATTTATCTCGCTTCGCCACCTCGTACCGATGCTGAGATGAGATTACTAAACGCAGTTGGCCGAATTTCAATGTGGAATATTCTTGTTATATTTCCTCAAAACCCGACGTCACAAGCCTGCCCCGTAAGCTGTTGTTATGACAACACGAACAAAGAACCACTGGTTTGTTTTTCATAGAAATATTACAAATATACGAGTAAAGAATTTTTATTATATAAAATTATGTCTTAATAAATATTTACTTTAATTGTGTATAGATTATTCGGTAAAAATTTGCAAAATTTTGTTGTGAAATTTGTAGAAAATTGAAAATATTGTGTAGGTGTATGTTTTGATAGAAATATTTGTTTTTGTATCGTTATTAGAAATATTAGTATATTATATGTAGGGTTGGAAAACTCTAAACATTGATATACAATATTGATGAGTCTAAATGTAGGTATGTGATGGAAAATGTAACGCAATTTTTTATATTTATAGAATTATTCGTAAGAGTAAATGTTACGATATTAACGTGAAAAAGCTTGCTTGTGTTACGTTATGATATTAATTCAATTATCAGGTTGTCTTTTTGGAAGAATTGCAAAATTGCAAAGACATCAATCTTTATAATTTCAAAGTTCAAAATCTGTTATACCTTTTACAGGTTTTCTCAAGAACAAAAGTCTCATCTTTATATGTTTACTTTCAACCAGAATTCACAAATGTACATCTGGTTGTCATCCACAGGCGAAGATTAAAACCAACATCCTCCACAACAATTCAAACTTTTTTAAATATAAACAGATTACATACAAAAGAAATGTACAATGTAAAAATTTGTCAAACTATAAAATTGATCTAGCATTTTATTTCATTCAGTACAGAACTTACTTATAAAAGAAATGCACAATATAAAAATTTCTCAAATCATAAAAACTCAACATTTTACTTCATACAGTACTTCACTGAAACAAATCACTTTGATGCAAACTGACTACAAAAATATATCTACATATATACTAAGAATAATTGTTTTAATAATATATTTATTCATGTTAAACAGTAGCTAGAAAAAGAAGGAAAGAAGGACGACCTCGAAGGCAAAGAACAACCTTCAGTGGCGAACAGACCTTGAGACTAGAAGTCGAGTATCGTAGAGGGGAATATATTTCTAGGGGACGAAGATTTGAACTTGCTACGTCTCTACAGCTGACGGAAACGCAAATTAAAATTTGGTTTCAAAATCGACGAGCTAAGGACAAAAGAATTGAGAAGGCACAGCTTGATCAATATTATAGGTAATTATTATTTGGAAATATTGGTACACAAGGTTTAAAAGAATACAGTCAATTTATTAATATTATCAATACTTTATTTTATCATTCATGAGTATGGTGCAGTTAAGATTAATAACACTTAAAAAATAAAATTAAAAAATTAAAAATAGCACTTAAAAATATGTTAGATTACTATTAAACTTGTCAGATAGTCCAACTAATACTTTTTGGTGTGGTAGTCATAAATATTTATATATAAGACTCTTATAAATATAATCAAATATTATTTGTTCACTCTACTGTCTACTTATGGCTTTTTAAATCAAAACTAAGGTCTCCAGCTTCTGTCTAGATTGTTAGATGAAGCTCATCTCCTAACTTGCATCTTCAACTCCTAAAATTTAAACTATTATCCACTTGTGAATCCTAATATTCATATCTTCTGTATTAAAACATACTAACTTTGTTTTGTAACTATTTTATTAATTTCTTTACTAAAACTTGCAAAGAACACAGTGACATAAATGACTCTTCTTAATTGACACGTTGCTTCTGCTGTTATTAACAAAACATAAAACATTAAAGTCTTGTTACAATAATATAATAAGTGTTATGTAGTAATTTCTTCAGTAAAACTTGCAAAGAATACAGTGACTCAAATGAATCTTTTTAACTGACATGTTTGTTCTGCTGTTACTTGTAGCACACTAATTAATAAAACATAAAACATTAAAGTCTTGTTACAATAATACAATAAATGTTATACAGTAATAACACATAAGATATTGTTTATATACACACACTCATGTATTTTTGTATTAATACTGAAATTAATGTTATCAAGGTCAATTAGTATTATCAAGACCATTAGGTCACTGAATCATATGAGAAAGCACAGGTGGTCCAGTTACGACTGTTATAAATGGTCTGGAAAATCCATCGAGTGGATCTATTTAGTCTGTGTTTATCTCCAGCTTGTCTTTGACTCTATAGAACCCCTAATAGAGTTGGAAAGCTGAATAACGCTGAGCTTTCAATAGAGAACAGAGATTCGTGGGAAAAAGGATACAGGAAACAAGCTGACTCTGATTCGATTAAAGTGATTTTTTAGCAAGATATTCCGCTAAATAGGTTTGAATGGGATTGTGATCACGTACCTTATAATGTTTGCACACCATCCTGTTGTGATTACATTATTCGAAAATTAATTTAATTTTGATTATTAATGAAGAACCAAATTAGTTAACCATAAATATCTGCAGAGTTTCATAAAAGTGTATTATTCAATCGAGAAACACTTAGGATATAAATGATAAATATTTTAATTAATAATATAATAATACAATTCATAATTACTGTTACTTTGTTATTGCATGTTTCAGGAATTTCGCAGTCTCCAATGGAGTTCTAAATTTACCAATTGATAGTAGAAATGGATTTTGTGAACTTTGCTTCTACAAAAAAGCTTTTGGATCTACAGTTAATCATTCGTGCGTTTCAATGAATCCTGTTATTGAAACATTAACAAAACAGCCACACTGTGGTAGCAATGAAAAGGAAACATCAGAAAATTCATCCAACATATTATTTTCTATTTGAAAATTTGGGAACTGTTGCATAATTAAGTTTGAAGAACGCCGATAACAAGTAATTTAGTTAGTTAATTCAGTCAAAACTTATTGTAACTTAAATTATTTGTAAATAACATTATTTATTTAATTATAAATATTAAAATACTTACAGTGCTGCAATGATGACAATTTCATGCTTTTAAAAAATTATTTATTTTATGATTTTGCAGTTTCAATATTAAAGATGTACTATAGAAAAAATATATGAAACTGAAATTTTCAACAATAAAAAGGATAATAAAATGGTACAATAATAATTAAATATAAGTTTATAAAAACTTGTAAGATATAAATAAGATATTTGTATTTTAACAACATATTATTTTCACTTCAATTGAACGTTTTAATGTTTGATTATTGATATTGATTAATGATATAATTTTATACAAATATGGGAAATTTACTAAATATTTGGAAAATTAAAATTTCACTGCAATTTAAGATAATCCATTAGGATTAAAGACCTGTTTATCTCCTACTCTAAATGAAAGTATTTTTGTTTTATTACAAAATAATTTTTGAGTAAAAATATATTTGTTAAAGTATGTTTAATAGTTTTATTACATAAATGTTTTACAATGTATATATTTTGTACTTTAATGCTCTGTAACAGATTATGTTTAATTAAAAACTATTGAATTGAAGAAGTTGAGGAATGGATCATTTTTACTGGAACTTTAATATTTCATCACATTTAAAATATATTTATTAGTTTCCAAAAGATATCTCTAAATATTTATACTTACAGTAACAATAGAATAAAAAACAAAGTCATGTAAAGAACTTTAGTAATAAATAATGTAAAATAATACTTAAGTAATGAATAAAAAAATGCACTCTATTTGACTATAACAATTTATGTTAAATTATGTACATTCTAAAAAAGAAAATAAATAACTGCAAAACAAATAAACGTATTATCATGTAAATTAATAGCTAGTAGTACATACTCAAGGGCAGGTGTAACACATATATTTATAATATAAATGAATGAGAAGACATTTAATTATAGTTTATTTTATTCTATACCTTAATTAATACATATAGTTTTTTTATTACATTACTTAATTATTTTGTGAAATATAAAAAATAACTTCTTCAATTGAAAACACCATGAAACTTGACACAATATAATAATTTTCATAAAAAATAATCTTATATTAGAAATGCAAGTTTCTTATATCATATTAAACTCATAGCCAAAACTTTGAAATTCATTCATTAAGATATAATAGCATGCAATGCTTACATAATTTTTTCAGGTATATAAAGAAACACAGGTATATATGCTGAAAAGAACTTTATTACATTTTCTAAAAATTATTATATAAAATATTGCTGAAAATTAATTTAAATCATTATTTCTTATATTAGAAATATAAATCATGCTTTTGATTTAAATAACTAATATTATTTCTGAAATAATTTAATTGATTATCTTCTGTATACTATTCAATAAATTTGAAGCATTATTTATGTATAAGTAAAAAATAGATATTTAAATAAAAATCTTTCAATTTTTTAAATTTTGTATAGTAATACTGTAAGTAATTATGATGTCATACTTAATATTATATAAAGTAGCTAATATATTAAATTCACTTAATAAATCTATGCATAAACCTTTTCAACAATATTTTTCAGTATTAGAACGATGGTTCCTAAATATTAAAGTCAGTCTTTTATTTTTATTAATAGTCCTTTTCATAATATATGTTTAATAATTTAATTACACTTTAAAATAATTATCACTATTAATTTGAAATAAAATCCACTAATTAATCTTAAAAATTGAAAGTACATTAATTCTAATATCTGTTACTAATTCTTTTATATTTTACTTTAATAACATTATCATGCATACAAATATTTTTCATTATTTATATTCGCATTAAAATACTCTTTCTACTGATTTGTTATATATTCACTTTATCCAAATATTTATCTTGCTATGTATATTGAAATTGTAATTATTGATGTCAAATAAATAAAATTGAATATCTTTCTTCTAATTCTATATGAAAGGTACTCATCCTTTAATATTTTCTCCTAAGCAAAAAGCATTATTGATATTATCAGTAATCCACCAAAGTACTCAAGTTTTGAACAATATTTATGAAAAGAATATATGCATAGATTTGCATAATTATTTATTTAAATTTTCAACAAAGTGACAGTTATTAAGTGCCAATGATATGTAAACATTGTTACATATTCTTTGTACCTTTGAATCTTGATAAGTGCTAATGTTAACATTATTTTAATTTTAAAATTGTAAAAAGTTAAGATAGTTGACTTAACTTACCTCCAACGATGAGTGAAAATGGAAGTTGTGACATGGAGCGCTCTGAGAGTACCAGCCCAAATGACAAACCAGAAATTAATGAAAACGAAAGATTCCAATTAATATACAAGAAGTAAAACAAAAACAATTACTTTCCGCTTTTTACATAGTTTATATTCAAGTCAAAATTTAAGTGAAAATTTTGATTGCTATTCATTATGCTGCACATTTTTAATATATGTACTGTTTATAGAAATCAATTATAGAAATATTAAGTGATACAATAGTTTTCTTTTTTCAGCATTAAATAAAATATAATGTAATAAAGAAGGAAAGTAATTAGTAACTAAAAATTTGTTTAGATATAATAATTAAATATAAATATTTTTATAAATAAAGTAAAATGATACTTAGTGTATCTATATTTTGAAATGTAACTCCATAAAGTATTCGAATTCATTTTTGGCAACTAAATAATACTTAAATATACATTATTTATCAATTTTTACTTTCCCCTGTAATGAATTATTAATACACTAAAAATAAACTTTCATCATTTTATGAAGTCCTTGAACAAAATAAAGTTTACTATTGATATGTAAATGAATTTTAATTTTGTATAAATTTTACAGTATCTATTTTAAACCGAGAAAATTATTAGACTGACAATGCAATTTAATAGGAATTTTATAAAACATTGTACCATTTGTTCTGCTATGAAGAATCCCTATGTCTAAAGAAATAATTCTAACATTCCTACCTGTAGTCGCTCAACTGAAGCTAGCAAGAAGCCTAGCAAAGCCTAGTTTGCTGTACACGGTTCAGAATCTTTTCTTCCATCACCTGCCACTTTTTAGTCTCCTAATAATTTCCAAACAATAATGTTTGGCTAAGAATATTTTCAAACGCTGAGAACGTGTTATGCTAACGAAGCATCACAATTAGGCTACCTATTTATATATTTCCTGTTTAACAACCATAATAAATATAACTTAAAACGAACAAAACCTCACTAATAAACCTAATAACAATTCTGTGATAGTAAATGAAGAATTAGATTGATGAATTTGCATGTTAATTTTTAATTTAAAAGTTAGTTTTAAAATTATTTCGTCAAAAAATATTTACTGTCAAATGGAATTATTTATTATCACAAAAGATATCAGGAAGAAAAATTATATTGAATAAATATATGTTTAAAAACTAGTGCAATATCAACGAACGACAGATACTGATTCAAGCATAACATTTATATTATTCACTTGATCTAATTAACTTCAGCTAAAATAGTATTTTTAATGAGTAATATAATATGTAAGTCAGTAGACTTTTGTTACATAGAAAAAATATTGAAAAAAGATATAAAATCTTAAATCTTTTCTTGTAACTGAATATTTAATAATTTATTGTATTTTAAATAAGCTTGAAAATTTTTATGTGAGAATTTATCTGTCCCATTAGTAAAATTTACATTTAAAAAAATTAAAAATAAACCTTACACTTAATTCAATATAGTAAATATAAATAAAAAGAATTGTACAGAATTATATTAAAAACCTTTTCAGATTGTTATACAACTTACGGTTGTAAACTGATCTTAGAAAATAATTTAAATAGATTTAAATACAATAAATAATGCAAACTGATGTAAAATGGATTTAATATGAAATAAACAATTTTAAACTGAATTGTCTTACGCAAAGTGTATATGTGGAAAGTGTGTGCGTATATATATTCATATATATAATATATATAACATACACACACTTCTATTTATCAAAAATGATGAGAAACAATGAAATACTTACTATTAAAGACAATGTTCATTAAATGGAATTAAGAAATAATGATAATTCAATGCTTTTACTGCAGATGATTTATAAAGATATGATAATTTTATTTTCTTATAATTCTCTATTTTTAGTGATTAAGAGAAAATTTTCATCGAACTTTAGTTTTACAAATATTGCATCGGATTTTTGGCGTACGTAATTTACAGTAGATAATTATATACAGAATATAAAGTTCAGTATATTCCTGGATTTATGAATCCAAATTATGTTGTATATCATAAGAACTACATAAAAATTGGTCACAAATTTTCGTATGTACAAATCATTTAATACTGTAAATACACATAAATATGAAATCCTTAGTTGTGCTTTCATCGAATACACAGTTGACAACGAATACAGTGTTCCTACATAGTAATATTTTCAACTCTTCAATGATATCCATGAATAACCGGTTAAATGTACCTTCATCTAACTATATTTCCCTATTCATTTGACTCATATACATGTTCTTGTACTTCTGGCTTATCCTCTATTATGGACATTTGATTTTATAAATTAATAAGTGACGTGGAAAAGGTTCTGTGGTCATTTTTATTAACTAACTCTTAAAACATTACAATTTAAAGAATAATTAATTAATCTAGGTAACCTACAAAAATGCTAAATGATATTTGATGATATCTGATTAATTCAGTTTCGTGTTCACATTTTTCCCATGCATTTTATCCTGAGATTACTCTTCTCATGAAATAAAATTCAATATACCAAAGCCTAAAGTCTTCTATTGAATTATATCAATTTGCTAGAAAAAATTAGAGAAACAATCGTGCTCTCCAACGTCTATTATCTAATCCTACATCTGTTGTAGTCATTTTTGAAAATTGTTACAAAAGTAAATATAACAAATTATTACACACTGCAGTGTTTTGGATGGCACGGATGTATCCCTAGCCACAGTAACTGAATAGTGAAAAATTAGCGCGTTTCTCATTAAATATTAATAAGTATTCGTTTTTCTTTTGTTGTTGTTGTTTGTTGGATACTATATATGTGCCACACAAATGAGTTCAGGCACAATCTAGAAAATTGTGATGTTATGTTTTTCACATAATTGGTTGAATACGTAAGACATATGCACGGTGATGCTAGATACCAAAAGAAATTACAAGCAAAAGCCTCCCTCACTGTGATCTAATAGATGACGCTTCTCTGTCCTGTATCCTGATTGTCCTGCCTGGTCTTGTCTCTAGCCTTATAGCCCTGCCTGCTCCGATACTAAACAGTACAGAAGTACTGGCGACTAGAAGACAAGTAGTAGGTTCACCTGAGGTTCAAAAGTCACAAATATCTATTAGTTAAGATGACTGAAGATACTCAAACTATAAGAATCTATAAATTTTCAGCTAAAAATCACGCACTATTTTACATAACTATATATACTATCACCTTAAAAGTATTTATTTTTCTGTAATGTTCAATGCATGATTGAATATGTAAGAATCTATCAAACTTTTCAATGCAAGTTATAGTAAAAAGAAAGAAAAAATAAGAGCTTATGAAATAACCAAACAATAATCTTACTTCATTATTTGAAAGGCATAGAGTGGTCAAGATGATTATCATGAAACAATGAACTATTAAACATTTCAATTATGTATCAATTGTATAATTAAAGTACCTTGACTAAATATCTGAATACTTGATACCAAATAATTGACAATATTTAAAATAAATTATTACTTTTATATGAATACACAAATTAAATGCAAGTTGATTTTTCTTAATCTTTTATAAATTTGTTTAGAAACGTTTACTTTTAAATATTTCGCAGTTTTATATATATATTCACAAAATATTTAAGAAAGTATTCAGACATTTTACTACCTATTTTCCTTTTTATGTCACAAGTAATAAATTTCTGCTCATATTATAACTATGGTACATTAATAACAAAAAAATATGTTACAAAATTGGTTCCATGTTATTTGAATTTATATTTATAGAACGCCCAAAGTAAAAAAAAATTTGTATCTAAGAACTAATATTTTTGAAAACTGAAAATATATGTTTGTTACATATATCTTAAGTTACGTATTTTTCAATTTTTATCGAATTTTTTTCATCAATCTATCAGATTATATATACTATTGTAATTATAACACTTTACAAGTTATAAATATTTTTAAAAATGAATCCTAAATAATTTCCACTGTACTAACAATTATATGATAACAAATTGTTGCATTATGCATGTAACATTATTATGTGAAAGTAGAAGTTTAGTAATAGAAGTTATTTTCTGATTAAAGGTTCAAATTCTGATGTTTCACTAAAAAAAAAGATAATAAGATTCAAAAATATTTATATGTAAGTCAAACAACAAAATAGAATAAAAAATATTTTACATTCAAATAACAGTTCTTCGTCATTATTGCCAATTACTTGGTACAATTCAACTATAAATTATGTACCTTTTTGCCTATGAATCAATATGATTAACTGTTTTTATAGGAACACATAATAATATACCTACATTTCCTCTGTAACTTTGTTAAAATGTATTGCACACTTAATAATGACTTAGTAATTCTTTTTAAATAGATTTTAAGATTGATATGGATGTTTGAACTTTACTGTAGTAATAGTAACAAAAAATTCAAATAGTATAATTTAATTCATAGTAGAATTGAACATAATATATCATTTATAACTCCACATATAATTGTTCTTTCCAAATAGCTAAGAAATAAAAATAATTTATCACAGATTTTATTAAATCTTGAAAATTATTTAAAATATTTATAACTTAAAGCAATAAATTTCAGCATAACCCTTTGTTACTTATTTCTAAAAAAATAATTTCACCTAACACATATAAAATGCCCTAAATATTACTTGTTTAAACAAATTTTTAATTTGTAAATAGTAATATCGTAATTTTAATGTAAATTAAAAATGTACATCATTTTAAAACATCTTAAACAGTATAAAAGTAAAAAGAAGTTACGCTTACCACGTGAGGGAAGTAGCCACGGACAATGAGTTTTAATATCTTCTTCCACCACCACCACCTCCTCCCATGTTTCCACCTCCAAGAGAGCTACCACCATATCCACCTTGATTACCATAACCACCACCACCGCCGCCTCCAGAATTTCCGCCACCCATAGGACCTGGAAAATATAGAAATAAATCACGAGTTAGTAAAGCTTAAATGATCTTATTAAAAGAGTTTTAGATTAACACTAATTTTTACTATCAATATAAAAAGTACTATGGTTCTAACAAATTAAAAGATAAAATATAAAAATTAAATAATGCAATATTATGACAGATTTTTTTAAAACAGTGGTGAGCAAATGAAATGAAGTTTGGAAATGTTTGATTAATAAATTTGACTATCGAGCGATGTCCGTGAGTATACATCACATACACGTACATGTACCGTGCCGTAAAAGACACAGTTGCCCATCACTGTTATAGAACATTGTAGTTAGAAATATAAAAAAATAAGAGTACAATACGTAAAAAAAACTTAACAAAAAGATAAAAAAGTTAAGAGCCAAATGCTTAGAAATATTTAAATAAAAATAGACTGCATAAACGTAATTATTTAAATAGCAACAGTACTTTAACAGAATTTAATGATTCATACTTGCAGTATATTATGAGCAAAATTAAGAAAGAGTAAAGAAAATGGACAAAGGCGCTCCTTCTCACTGCAACATCGCGCCTTGTGTCACAACTTATAATTATTTAAATTCATTTACACCTATTCAGGTAAATAATATTCATATCAGCGATGTAGATAAGAGTGACTTTATCATACTACACAGTCTTTTAATCGCTCAATTATGTCCCTATAAACGCAACGATAGATAATGAACTTTAGTAATAAAGTACTGTACAACGGTATTAATGTAAGCTGAACGCTCCTTGTGCAACTTGGTGAGGTTATCAAGCTCAATAATACTGCGATAAGATATATCATAATAATTAGCATTGACGTTATTAGAAATAACAGAGAAAAATTTATGAATAGTTGCTCAAGGCACGTAAGAGACGCGTTGGCTTTTGAGAAGGACGGAAGCAACCTTGTCCACCGAAGGGTGGTAGCCATCTCGAGTCTCCAGACTGTCGGCCACTAGGACCCATATTAATACCATAGGGTGTAGGTCTTCCTCCGGAGTTGAAGTTATTCCGGACGGGGCCGCCGCCATAGCCTTGCTGATAACCTCCACCAAAGTTGTCGTTGCTCCAATTTCCACCACTATTATAACCCCCTTGACCACCTTGACCTCCCCATCCACCTCCTTAATTTCATAAAAAGTATATGTTAGAAATTGTGAATAAATGTAGATATAATATATTATTAAGTAATGCAATATAATATATAAATATGCAATACTTAGTAAAAATGTAAAGATGATCTTTCTGCGAACCTTTACCTTGATTCTGATTTTCCCACGGACCGTTACCGCCCCAACCTCCTTGATTACCTCCACCATAACCACCTTGATTACCACCATTATTCCAGTCGCCACCTCCTCCGCTTCCTCGGCCACCCCAATTACCTCCACCTTGATTGCCACCTCGAGGTCCTCTGCCTACACTTTGTCCTCCTCTGCTACCACCACCGCCACTACCTCCACCGCCACCGGATGCAGACGCCATTTCTGCTCTACTTAAAGCCTTGAAAACACAAGTAAAAACAGCATTTTACTAACTTAGCATTCTTAACGTTTTTCAAGTAATAAAGTATGAATAATGGTTTCTACCTTCTTAACGTCTACGTGTTTTCCACGTATCTGATGATTGCGTTGTAAACAAATTTTATCTACAGGGTCATAATCATCAAATTCCACGAAGCCAAAACCACGTTTTTTGCCCGTTTCCTTATCGGTGACAATGCTGATTGAATTAATACTACCATAGCTCTGGAAATATTGTCTAAGATCTTCTTCTTCATGGTCATCTTTTAAACCACCCACAAATAATTTTTTAACTGTTGCACCTGCCTCTGGCCTACCAATTTCCTGTCTGGGTACAGCTCTTTTGGGTTCAACTACACGTCCATCTACCTTGTGTGGCCTGTTAAACAAAGAAGAAAAGAATAATTTATTACTGTGGATATTTCAATTATGTACATATATGGTCAAATCAAATATTAAAAATATAATATTTCATAATTTATCTTTGATGTTGATATGAAAATATATTTGCTAATATTTATATTTACCTTGCATTTTGAGCATCATCTACCATGTGGGCCCTAGAATACGTAATAAAACCAAATCCCCTAGATCTCTTCGTTTTTGGATCTTTCATTACCACTACATCTACGATTTCACCCCATTTTTCAAAGTGTTTCTTTAAAGAGTCATCAGTTGTTCTATAATCTAAACCACCAATAAATAATTTTCTGACATGTTCTGGTTCGTTTTTTCCATCCTGAAACAAAAATTTAAATATTTGATTAATATTTAATAATTTTAAACAAACACAATTTACGTAGCAAAAGGCAATAAACAATCAAAGAAATATAAACAGAATAAATAAAAAATTAAGTAAACTGAATTGTTAAGAAGAAAAGTTTTAAAATTAATCTTTTTTTCCTTGCTACTTAAATTACAATTTTTCAAAATAACAGGAACACGTCATTTAGTAAACAAAGCCTTCCAACTGCTAAAGAAAAAATAAGACGGTTTAATCTAATTTTAAAGTTGTTGTGTTCTGAAGTTGCGCGAATACTTTCTATACCGACTGTATACAAGTCTAAGAAATTCTGAAATGGCGTAGCGTCGGACAACGCCATGCCATAAACGACCATTACTAACACGTATAAACTTGAAACAGATATGTACAAAAATATGTAAAATCGATGCATACGTATAAATAATAAATATATGAATAAAAATTACTGTTTTCAGACATATTTGTTTAGTTCCTCAAATAAAGCAATGCATATGCATACATGTATGTAAATATATATACATAATTTATTATTAAATAGTTCACGAAAAATAAAAAAAGTAGTAGATATATAAGTAGAAATAAAGAAATAAAAAATAAATGATGTTAGAAATAAATGATGCTATGTAAAATGTAGTCACATCAAAAATCATGAAAAATGTGAAAAACTAAGATTGTGTGTTTAATATTCACATTTCGCATAAATTATTTGAAATGTAGTAGAATAATGTAAAATGTAAATAATAATTTGTTGTTTTACTTACATCGTGCTCCATCTTAACCATTTTGGATAATATGAAACAGTCAATACCCTTCACCACCGGACACAAAGAGCTTCATCAAACGGGTAGAAGAAATGGAGACCGCGCACGTCGTTCAATCGATTACTGTTCCTTTCAAACACTTATGTAAACCCCAAATGCGCAAACTAGCTCTTGAAGCTTTGCGCATGCGGAGATGCTATATCTTTTTTGTTAATTTATCATTTTCTCTAGTATTTTTCAAATTATTAACATTAAATATAACTCAAAAAATTATTATATGTCAAATTTTGTATTCTTTAATACATTTTTATCATTTACAATAAAAAAATTACAAAAGTGTTTACATTCAAGTTATAAACAAAATACATTTTTTATTTGAATGAAGTGTTTTACTGTGTTAAATTACATAATTGTATTATGTATTTAATTTTATTTATGCATACAAGCAATATTAATTTATATTTGTATCAACCACTTTTATTTATAAAGTATAATAAACAGAGCTTATACAGCGCCGGAAGTACCAATCGTCATTCGATGAAACTACTTTTGAATAGCCATGCGATTTTGGGAGTTTTAAAGTTTAAAATTTTAGGATTTAATAACAGACGATATATTAGAATATATTTCTGATTCAATAAAAAAAATGGCACGGAATTATTTTATGGAAAGGTCTATTCGCATCACAATAAAACCAATAAATCAATGGAACATGTTTTTTAATGAAAATATATGCAAGATGAAATTATACGTGTATACCATATAAATTAATCATTTAATCTAATAAATTTATTTACATTACAAAGTCATCTGTAATTTTATTCATTCAAAAAATGTTAGTGTTAATGTAGCATGTGGGACAATCTTTATTATAATTCTGAAACTTTGCATTAAATTTCTACAAAATTGTTGAAAAGAAATGTATAATGATCATTGCATGATTGTATAAAAATAATGACTCTGTTTAATTTAAGATGTAAATGGAACTTTTGTGACATATTTATTTGTGACAGTTTAACTTTGGAGGAATTTCATAAAATACCTATAATTATTAAAATACCTATAACTTCAAAGAATAAATAATAATTTTATATATTTATTAAACATGATTTAGTTTTAATATGAAAGTAATTTAACATCTTTGGTGCGTATTAATTAAAATTTGTAAAACTGTTAATAAAAAATTACTTATCACTTTACAGTTTAATCTTTACAATTAAATAATTTGAAAATGCTTGATTGAAATGATTAAATATATTTAGTAATGTAATTAACTTATAGACTCATATTTTATGATTAGAACTGTTTAACTAACTATAACATTTAACTAACATTCACCGTTTGAATTGTAAATTTTCCATTAGAGTTAGAAATTGAATGATTGCCGTTATCTTTGATTTTTAACTTAACATCTTTTTTATTATACATTTGTTTCTCAGCGTTTTGATGTATTAAACTAGTTTGAACATTCGAATCTGATTCTAGAAGTGAGTTTTCATGAAGAGCTATTTTATGCAAAGAATTTTTTACGTTAGAATATGTACAAGACACCTGCTTCACAAGTACAGGATACGATTTATCTGTACAATTTATACAATTTCGAAAAAAATAATTATGATTCGATACATTTTGCGAATATAACTTTTCTTCAATTCGTTTATTTATTACCACTGCTTCAGCAAGCGGTATTGGTTCTGTATATGTAAATGTCTTTTTCCGAGTATCAGTCTTATCACCTGGCTTTTTAATACTAATTGGTCCATTGATAACAGAAACTGCGTTACTTACTTCATTTGTGGTTCTTATAACAGGTGTAATATTACCCATAGAATCTAATCTTGAATTAATTTGATCGCAAGAACTTACACCAACCATTGATACTTTGGTTGGAGTTTTTTGTATAGAGGTGGAAGTAATTTTTTGTATCTTTTTTGGTTTTTGTTTAGGTTTTGGTGATTTTATATTTGTAGTAGGTACAGTGTTCTGTACGTTGTTAATATCCACAAGGGGATTTTCTGAATGATGATGTCTAATATGTCGATGTAAATTATCTTTCCTTCTAAATACAGTTTGACAATATTTACAAGAAAATGGTTTCTCATCTGAAATAAATTTCATATATTATTATAATATTATAATATCTTTATGACATCACCTACCTGAGTGTACAGTTAAATGTCGTTTTAATTCACTTTTGGACAAGAACACTCTATTGCAATGTGCACATGAAAATGGCCTATCTTTTCCATGTGTCTTTTTATGACGAACTAAAAGAGATTTATCCTTAAAGCTTTTATTGCACTGATCACATATATGTGGTCTTTCATCTGTTAATGCAAATATTTTTATATTTAATTATATATATCAATTATGTTATTCTATTGCACATTCGTACTCACTTGTATGTGTTTTTAAATGCCGTTTTAAATTAGTCAGCATCCTAAAAGTTTTTTCACATGTTTTACAAGAATATGTACTTGTGCTACTATGCACTGCTAAATGATTCTTTAAATCATCTCGTTTAGAATACTTTTTAGTACACTTAGGGCATTCAAATTGCTTTTCCCCTAAAATTATATTTTGTAATTATTTATTCAGGTATGAAACCATGATAAACACGCTTTACTTGAAATTCATAACAACAGAAAACTTACTACTGTGTGAATACATATGTCTATTGAGTTTGTTTTGTTGAGGAAATGCTTTTTCACACAGATTACATTTATATGGTTTATACCCTCTATGTACTCTTTCATGATATTCAAAGTGAGACCGTTTAATGAAAGTTCTGTCACAAAAGGAACATTGATAAGGCTTAATGCCTGTTATACATGCATCATGATAGCATTTTCCTTTTTTGTTTCGAAAAATTTTGTTGCAAATATTGCATTTATACTTTTCTGGTGTTCCTGGTATTAGAATAATATGAGTACGATCTGGGCATTTTATAGATTTACTTTTTTGTAACTTCTCACTTCTTAAAGACTCTGTTTTATTATCCTATAAAAAGTTATAGCACATAATTTGATAATTTAGATATTATATATGAATTACCATACTTACTAGGCTATCAATTTCTGGCTCTGCTTTATTACAAGATTTTATTACAACATTGCCTTTTACGCATGAATGAGTCTCAGATTCTGCTTTAGGAATATACAAGTTATTTGAAATATCGTTGTCCTTTGTATCAGTTGTAGGAGACTGATAAGTTTCTCTTGTTTTATTAAATACATCATCACTATATAATTCATAATTATTAACAAGTTCAAAATTATTTGGTTTACATTTTGAATCTTTATTAATAACTAATTCTAAAGGTACTACTTCTTCATTACATGCATTGTTTGTATCAGAATTGGAAATCTCATTTAAAATTTCTTTCCTTGCAGGTGGGTAATCTAAAAATGAAATTATAATAATGTATAAGGATAATGATTAATATAAATAATCCATTACCAAGCAAGGTATAGCTTACCATAATTCCCAATATTTTCTATACACTGTACATTATTACAAACTCTACAGCCTTGTTCTTCATATAACAAGCACATACGACATTTTGTATGACCACAATTATCTTTTACAAGTCTTGAACATGATGTATTTATCATTCGTCTACAACTCGGACATTTTTCATTCATTATAAGTACTTTCAATTAGATTTAATAGTGTATTTTTCTATTATAATTACATTAACTTTTAGACAAAGTACTTCTTTTATACATATTTATTAGGTTTCACTGTTTTAAATTTGCTTGGTGTTATTAACATATATTTTATATCATTTCATTAATTATTAGAAGACATAGATATTTGTAAAAACGAAGATACTTTTGGATACTGTATTTACATTCTAATAGCAATTACATTTAAATGTAAATAAGTATTAAAATAAGTGTATTTTAAATTAGGGTAGGTTATGTCTAATTGTCATTTAATTATTAAAAAAAATATCTTGTACTTATACACAAGTCTTGAAGTTACTTTATCAACTGTTTTTTAATCATACGATACGTGTCATTAATAATTTAATATTTGATGACACTTTAATTTTATTTTTTCGTTCGATCTAAGATCGTACTCATCATCTGACGAGTTTTTATTCATTTTGCTCGTATAAGCTCTGATTGGTTAAGCATGCTTCGTAACCAAGAATAACGCGTATGCGCATTTACAATTTCAAGTATATAATTATCAAAATCTCATGTTATTATAAACTAATTTATTTAATAAATAAATTGTTATACATTTTTTAATTTTATATAATCGCACACACTGAGAACAGTGTCGTTTACGTTATCTAAAGAATAGCAGAAAAGCTACAAAAGAATATTCTACTTGTCTCAGAGAAGCTATTCTTTATTATATTCATGTAATCCCTAAAATTACTTTTCTATAACGTAAAAAGTACAATAAAATAGCTTGACCATTTATTTGCGTCGTTGAAAATCTTTTGGACATTTTCCTAGGGGAATTACATTTGCACTTAGAGTGCACAGCAAGTCTTGTTCCTATTCCTAGGTATCTTGTTCTGCGTTGATGCAAACAGAACGTTTTACAATTGCGTTTCTTGCAATTGTATAAAAATATAAAGAACGTCATTTAATTTTTTATATTAAAAATGGGAGATCTTCGACGAAAAGTAATTATTGTATTACTAATGTCTAACATTCTAAATTATTAATGTTTGATACTTCAGATTTGGTTATTAATTTATTTTGGTACATACAAAATTGTACACAGTATTGAAATTAACACATATATTAATAAGTAAAATTACAATTAAAATGCAAAGAATTATTCTTTAATGAATGTCTATAACAATCCTGTTATAATGTTTAAGTAATTTGTATATTAACACTTTCCTACTGTATAAATTAATGCACTCTGAAACAAATGTATAACACATATTTTAATGAAATGTAAATTTTGTAGGTATTACAAACTTTTAAGAAATTACATCGTACTAGAATGAATACCTTTAATGGTGATGAACGTGCGTTAAAAGGTAAAGTGAAAATAAAGTTGAACATGTTCTGAATTACTGATATTTTAACAAATGTTATTCAGTTATAAGGCACAAAATAAATACGGAGTATAAGAAATTTAAACATGTCACAAACAAGGTCGCTATTGAAGAGGTAAACATTTTTTATACATCTAAATTTGATCACATATTGTATATGTTATAAATGAATATTTATTCTCAAATATATTTGGAAGTATCATGTAGCACATTATAATACAATGTTAAAATGTAAAAGAATAAGTAAACTTTTAGGTTTTTGTTGCACTGTATATAATACATGGGTATTGTTTCAGTTAAACAAATTTGCAGAAGAAGTAGAATATGAAATACGAACAACGGTAGTTCAAGCAATTCAAACAGAACCTGGGAAATTCAGTAAGGTTCTTATAAATACTGCTAATTCTATGATAAATGGTTTCATTACCAACTTTATTATTTAATATTTTAGCGCTTCGTATTACAGGGGATACAGCTTTAGTGGATAATGTACCCTATAAGGATGAGAAAACAGATCAAGTGACAGACAATAAACACAGTGATAAAAGTAGTAACTGTTTATGCTCAAATACTTCTACTTCAAAAGACAAGGTAAAATAATGATAATGATAAAATGTAAAATAGGAAATAAATTTTAACTTTATAATTGACTAGAAATATGTATTAATTTGTACAAATATATATTAAAATAGTTAATTCAAATTACTTTGTTCGTATTCTCAATAATCAGTGATTATTTTAAAATTGAACATTGAATTTTTTTATTATACATCAAATGGATCAATATTCAAGGACCATAAATTAAACATTTTATTTAATATTTTACAGTATAATATTAATTGTACAGTATATTACAATTGATTGCCGATAGCAACTGTCATAAATAATAATAAAACTATGTAATGTACAGTATTTACAGTATTACATTTCATTGCTAATTCGTCTTTCATATTTGTTTAGTAATTTCTAGACAGATGCTTACAGTTGTTATCTAAACGAAAATGACGTTCATACAAAATCATTTTCAGCATCCAATTATGCTTCTGTAACTCCCTCTACTTTCATCCTAGAAAAGTAATTAACTTTTTAATATAGTTATTCAGAAAAAATTATGTAACATAAATATTTGTATGAATTCAGTACAGTCTAAAAATTTCTTTAAATTAATAACTAACTTTAAAAAAACAATCTTTAAACATGACTTACTTAATTAGAATGTTATTAGTATGGTGATGAGAAGTATTAATAGATTGTGTGTCCAAGCGCAATATCAGAACCCGATATAACTGGGTTTTCAAACTTCTCACAATAATTATGTTATTGTTTTAATTAACCAGATTTAAATTGTTAGTACATATATAGCGTTTTTGGTGCAAACCTAATAATATATTTAGTTTATGAATTATTAATTGGTTATATTATTAAAATGTAATTATAATTAAATATTAGTATGTGTTAGTGGTACAAATTAGGTTTATACTAACTTATGTTCAGGATGAATACGAATTTGATCAATTAAATCTGCTGGTCTTATTTGATCAGTACAAATACGATGTACTGCTGTAAATAATGGGAATTTGTCTAATAAGTTGTTAGCTTTTAGCATTCCATGAACTTCATCAGCTGTAGCTGGTCCTTGTAATTTTTGACCACCTAGAAGTTCATCTTCAAGTTGTTTGATGGTCTATTGAACAAAAGTATAAATATATTTTATTAACTATATAATTCATTTGAAAAGCGAATGTATTAATGAATGTGATTTGTACTTTGCCACTTTTAACATATTGTTCACAAACTCTTCGATTTCTACCACCATAACAAGTAGTTATTAAATCGGCTACACCACAACTTTCAAAGAACGTTGAAAGCTTCGAGCCGCTATAGAATGTATCTATAAACTGAACCATTTCCATCAGACCTAATCTGATAACAGCTGCTTTCGTGTTATCACCCAACCCCAGACCATCTACAAAACCAGCAGCACATGCTACAACATTCTGAAACATAAATTTAAAATATTAAATATTTATTTTATACAATGATATTTAAGTGTGCATACCTTTAAGGCTCCACACACTTCAACTGCTTCACAATCCTCAACTACTACAACTCTGAAGTTGGGAGTTTGAATCATGTCTCTCAGTAATGGTGCTAGCCGTTTATCTCTGCAGCCTGTAATGACAAAAACCAATCATGACTGTATAACACTTTATTAGTATAATATTGTTAAAATCCTCATCAAATATCTGAAATAATAATTTATCACCATAATAATAACATCAAATGACATCTTTTATAGATTATTAATAATTACCAATAGTTGTTTCACAGAATTTCTCTTCAGCAACTTCATTAGCCAAGTTTGCACCCATCAAGACATAACACTGAATTCTTAAATTCTTTTCAATGATTTTAGAAATCAATTCAATCTTTGTTCCATCTCCTCGATCAAAACCCTTCACGAAAAATCAGGATTACAATAATCATCCAATGAATTAGGTATCAATAATCAATACCTTAATTAGTGATAAACCAACAGCAGTTGGTTTAATTTTATCCAGCAGTGTTGCACATAGTGTTCGTATGAATTGATGAGGCAATACAAAAATAAGAATATCTGCATCTTTTGCAGCTTCCACAACATCTGGAACAGCAACCTGAAAAAGGATACATAATGTTACATTATTCACAGCAGCTGCATCCTCCATATTCAGCACTAACTGAAACACTTGATTATAAACTATGTTTCATTCAATTAAAATTCTGTTTTGAATTTTGAATCATCCTAATGTTGCATACGTTTTGCATACATTTTACATATTTTAACACACGTAAACATGAAGATCAATCTAAGATTAATAGTCTTCTGGTGCAAAAACACATGTCAAATATGAAATCACAGAACATTAAAATATTTCAGTATCCGTCAAACAAAAATGAGATAAAAAGTCAGCAGTATTAATTGGGATTCATTTTGATAAGAGAAGTCAAGAGCTTCTTTCCGTTTTGTAAGATCTTATCTTAAAGATCAAAACATATAAACACTTGAAATTTTAAGATCCGATTTCCGGTGTGTACTATCAAATAATTACGAGCATATGATATACAGACTAGATACTACTTTATGAATGTAGTTAGGAAGCAAATGAAGAAACCTGGATTAAAACAATGAAACTCCATCCAGGTGGTTGAAGGATTCTTATAGACATATAGAAATCTTTCTTAAAAAATCATTACTGTTTATGATCTTAGTGCATCTAGACAAATTAAATCTATATTTTTACTTTGGAATGATAAGAAGACTTCAGAGAGCATCTAATGTTCATGATATTACAGAAGGAGTCTCTGCTGCAAGGATAAAGAAACATTTCTCTAACTGTTCATATGATGTCATTTAAGAAGTTAAATAACACATAACAGGATATCATATCAGTATACACGAGGAAGACGTGTCTTCCTTTTGCGTCAAACAGTCAACTTCCCTAATCTGTTTCGATTAGATGTCATGGTAATAGGTATCATGATAACAGAGTTTACCTATCTTGAAGTAACAGTGGTATGGAGGGAGAAGCCCCCCTACTGGATTTGATGATACTACGCAATTTATACGGTGTGAGACATACAGTTTGCATATCGGTATATAACGGCCGACTGATCATCAGTGTATTACAGTAGCTCTTCACGAGTCACGGATCAGAGCATTTTAATTTGAAGTATATTTTAATATAAGCCACAATCATGAGACTTAATTCTATCATCCCTAACTTTGAGGCAGAAACAACTCAAGGACCCATTAATTTCTATACTTGGCAAGGAAATTCGTAAGTCTATTTTTAATTACTGTTTGACTTCCAATTAGCTTCATAATTGATTTTGTATAATTAGCAAATTTGTTATTATTACTATTTACAATTATGTATGCTTTACAAGTATAGCCAGAAGTATTTCCTAATACTTCTTGTATGCAATCAGAACAATATATTTTTCTATAATTTATTGGAACTGTGTTATAATGTATTATAACATAAACTGTTACAACATAAATGGCTAACACGATTTTTGTTATAAAATTATTTTCAAATGTAACACGAGATCAACCGAATTAGGTGATATTTTGTATTTTAATTTAAACAGTAAACAGATTCGTCATAGATTCGTCCTTCCGTTGATGGTACGTGATTGTAGTATAAAAGGAAATCATGCGAAATAAATATTCAACGTACATCGAGGGAACAACTGTACTATGAAACAGTTGAACAACAATTGTTTAAGTCAATTTAAATCGTGTTTATCATGTTTATCTGCGCAATAAAGAAATAGCTCTCATCCGTCTCATGTTGCACTAAATGAATAAATTACTTTGTATAATGTATAAAGAAACGTTTCATATTAAGACTATAATAAAATGTATAGTAATGGAATTAGTTTCCCCTTGTCTTCTTTTCTTATAGTATTGAATAGATTTAACATTTCATTTTGAAATTAAAAACTGAACAAAAGATATTGCATGTAATACTGTAAGCTTTGGATCTTGAAGAACTTCCTTTTTTTCATATGAACACTGTTTTTCCATTTGTTTTTTATAATGGCATTATTATATAGTAATTACTATCATTTCTTAAATAGATCATTACAGTACTAATACCAGAGGGATAGAGATGACTTGAGGTTTTCCACAATCAAAAAATATAATTATGCTGCTATGATTTTTTTATCTGTTTTCAATCATTAATAACAGGGATATAAAGACAGTTTTTTATAGAAAGTGCATCTGAGATCATCTCTACAATGTTTCCAATATTCATAACAGTGATCAAGCAAAACTGGTCTCTAATGACCAGTAGATACTAAAGAAGACTTATGAACACTATCACTCAGACTGCTATCAATGAGATAATAAAAGTATTTACATTTCCAGTTGGCCAATTAAAAATCAGTAAATGTTAATACGGTACATGTCAGTTATTGAGATGTGACATGTACCATTTAAGTTAGTTCTGATGGCTAGCTCATATCCTTGATAGATGAAAATAAATGTGATATTATAAAAAACTTGAAACTAAAAATTATATATAAATACACAGATTATTTTCACATATTATTTTCAGTATAATGAACAATACTTCTTAACAATTTTTAATGCTAAATTTTTAATTACAGATGGGTTGTTCTATTTTCCCACCCTGCTGATTTCACCCCAGTTTGTACCACGGAATTAGGACGTTTAGCAGTACACCAGCCTCATTTTGAACGTAGGAACACAAAACTTCTAGCTCATTCTGTTGATAAACTGAAGGATCATGTTGACTGGGTTAATGTAAGTAAAAAAAATAATGAAATTAAATTAAAAATATATAAAGAGCAAAGGGAAAGAAAGCATATCCTCCATTTTAAGAAATTGTCAGAAACTAAATTTTCCTGATAAAAATAAACTATTGACAAAATTCTAATTTATTTGATCTTTAACATTTATGCAAGCCTTGTATAAAATATACATGATAACATTGGAAATGAGGATGACTCAGTCTCTCACTTTTTTATACTTGGTACACTAGTTACTGACTTTGAGATAACTTATTGAAAGACAAACAATATTTATTTGAAATATACCTTAGTAATGAATGATGAAATAAATGTTTCACTCAAAGAAATGTAAGATTTGCGAGCTTTTATAAATACTTAATCAATTTTTTCTGATAATAGATATTTATTTATAGTAACAGAGAAATATCATGTTGATTCTATTTTAAAACCAGTAGAATCTTCCATAACTTGTAAATGATAGCATGTAATGAAATCAGGCATTGGTGGTTTACACAGAGCAGGCAAATGAAAACAAGTATCTATATAAGACTTTTCATTAAAAAATATCTTCTGATTTATATTTATGTTTAATATATGATTGGACAATTAGTAAGTAAATAATTATTATTATAATAGGATATCAAATCCTATTGCCAAGATATTTGTGGAGCCTTCCCTTATCCAATTATTGCTGATCCTGATAGAAGTTTGGCAGTGAAACTGGATATGATTGATGAAGGAAGCAAAGATGATCCAGATTCAGCACAAACTGTTCGAGCTCTATATATCATAAGTCCCGATCATCGTGTACGCTTATCATTACATTATCCAACATCTACTGGTCGCAATGTAGAGTAAGTCGCATTATTATTTTGATATATAATGATATATGTTATACAAAACATGATGGTAATTTGTTAATTATTTTTAGTGAAATATTGAGAGTCATAGACTCTTTGCAACTTGTTGATAGAAAACCTGGAATAGCAACTCCCGCTAACTGGGTGGTAAGACGATTTCTTTTTAATTATTTGCTAATATTCTTTAAATTTTACTAGTGAGATATCTGGTATATTTTTTCTTATAGCCAGGGGAAAAGGTTATGATTCTTCCTACAGTGAAGGATGAGGAACTTCCTAAACTTTTCCCTAAAGGAGTTGATAAAGTAACAATGCCTTCAGGAAAGGTTTATGTACGCACAACCACAGATTATTAAGTGCATTTACAAGTCAAGTTTCGACTAAAATGTGTTTAATGTAAATTTTAATATTAGAAATGAAAATGTAAAAATGAATCTATTACTGTTTAAGTTTGATTACATGTATAATGAACAAATATAAGAATAAAATTATGAAATTGTTATTATATTACTGTGTGGTATTATAATGAGATTAGGCACCAGAATAACCATTTATCTTAATGGCTTATGTTACAATCTAACAAAAAATGATAGTGCACTATTTGAGTCGTTTAAGCTGGTAATATAATATGACAAATTTTTTCATGAATCAATTCAAATAATTTATATCACCTGAATATATTCTAAAAGATATTTAATATGTTTTACTATAAATTTAAGAATATTAAACACGTTATAAATGCTTAGAAAACATAGTACACTTAAAAAAATGAATACAACAATATAAAAGAGGACTTACAATGTTTTCAGGGAGCTTATGTCCAGGAAGATATTTTACATTTTCATGTAACTGATTAATAATATCAGTCAATTTTTGACTGTTCACTATTTCTTCATAAACATACATTGTCACACGTGTTTCAAATTTGTTATTGTATTTCATAACATTGGCGCCCACAATTTTTGCAATGGCTGAACCCCTAAAGTACAGAAAGTATACAATATAAACAAACATTATCATACATGCATAACATTATATAATTCTTTAAGGCCATCTTTCGTATGAAGTATTTACAGCTATATAATTCTTATATTCATGAGAGCAAGTTCTTATTTTTCGACTTTCAAATTTAAATATTTATTTTATGTGATAGAATATTTTCTGAAAATTCAATAGATAAATTTTAATTTAATGAAATTTATTTAAATATGTAATACTAACAATTATTTTACTGTAAAAATATATACAAACATAACATGTGTTTGTCAAAAGATGGAAGAAATATTTTATCTATTCGTTATAAAAAGTCCAAGAAATTAACTAGATATTTCTGAAGATAATTTCAATTTGTATATTATGTTATTTCTTGACAAGTTATGCAAGCACTTGTACGAATGTCATTGATAAATAGCGATGAGCAGATAAGAATAAATACTATGGTCAATAATGTGATAAAAAAATGTAACACGTATTTTTGGAAAATGATATGAATATATTACAAGTATAAATATATTATATTCTATTGGGTACAAACTCCAATTTTTGTTTATAAAAATTTGAATAAAACTGTCAAATACACATACCAATTTCCACTTCCTACAATGCATACTCTCTTCTTTCCTTCCGTACTCATTTTTCTAGTTTTATGATATTACAAAATTAAAGTTTATAAAAGCGCAAGCTGTTTTATGTCGAACGAAGTGTTACAAATCCACGTATTTTCGGGCGCCGATGTTCGATTGACTGACTAACCGACTAACTTACAAACTAACTTCAGCCTTCATTGACCTTAACAACGATCACAAATTATTTTCTAACAGTTGGCGTTCAGTGGACCAAGGCCGACGTAAACGCAATCGCAAACCGTGGCCAGATTAAATTTTAAAATTAGCGATAGTATAATAATACTACAAGCGTTACAAAGAGTTTAACACTTCCAAATAATTTCCTTTGTTAGTACACATTATCACCAGTAATGTTCATATAGTTATATCAACATATTTTTTAGAGATATAAAAACATACAAACATATAATACTCTTAATGCCATACAACTAAATTATTTATGAAATAAAAATAGATCATGATAAGTAACTGGCCAGTCGCTGATGTAATATTTCAAGAGATAAGTAACACTATATCCTGATTCCTATTAAACAACAATTTTCAGCTAATATAATCTTAAAAAATACCAAAATAAATGTAAACATACAAAATTCCTTAATATGATATAAATAAATAAAAATATATGACACTGAAAAGTAATTTACCCAATCGCTGATATAACATATAAACAAATAAGTAATATTATATCAGCCGAATAATTTTAATTATTGTATTAAATTATCATTGGTTATTATTAAATAGTTTCTGAGATATAAATATCTTCTTGTGTGTCCTCCAATCTTCATAGGTGGCATCTTGGTGAAGGTAACTGCAGTATTGATGTATTAACGTCATCATTCCTACATACCAAGTAAATACAGTTAAAAATAAATGAATCTGTATACCTTTAATCATAAGTGTTACCCGTGTACATTTATACCATTTACACCCTTAAGCATGCTTAACAGAGACTAATAGAATGACTATACAACTTATAACGTACAATTAATAACATTGTAATATTTAATGATAAATTGTATTTATATTAGTGATCTACTTTGCTAGAATAATGTAATGTATAAATATCGGTATTTAAGGTTTTGGAAAAAAGGATAGACATTACTCTAAACGAGGATTTCGATTATCAAACAATAGTCATATATTTAATTTTCATGTTACATTGTTTAAAATATTTTCAATTTTGTAACATAATTCTTCACAGTTTATAATTGCAACAAAATTAAAGTATCGCTAGTACAATTCATTTATAGATTCTTCTTAATTTGTATAACAATTTTCATAGAATCTTCATTAAAATATCTAACAACATACAATATATTTTTACATATATTATTTTTCAACATATTTGTACTTTCTACATATATTTTAGATAGACAGGGAAAAAATTAGTACTGTCAAGGGTGCATTGAAATTATTGTCATATGAACTATAACTACTTTAATATAAGTAGAGTTTATAATTAAAAATTTGAATGGCATGTAACAAAAAATAGTAATTTAAACTGTGCTATTACGATTTCCAATAACTGATTAAAATATTATAAAATATTAAACAATCCATGGTCCTTTATTTTTTTTTTAACATTTTTGTCTTTGTGTTAATAATCCATAACAGACTAAGAATCTTAAAAGATTTTTTAAAATTAGTAATTTAATATACATATTCTGTGCGTTTAATAAGCATCTTTTTTACTTTCATTTGAAGACTCATTTAAAAAATTTCGCAACACCCTGATAGATTAAAAACAAGGGTAAACATCCATGCCAAAACATCTGATAGATTTTTAAAATATTTTAGATTTATCAGTGAAGTAAAGTGTGTGACATATATCTAATTTAATGATAATCTTGAAAAATGTGATATGTATATAATAGGTTCAAATATCTTATTTATATAAACATATTGCGCTGTGAATTTCGGTTACATCATACGGAAAATGTAGAATTAGTAAATTATGCAGTATAGCATGTAAAGTTTTTATATTCATCTAGTACTATTAGATGATCTTTTAAGTTGCAGCAATACAATAAAGGATGTATTACCGTCATTTTATTAAATGAAATTTATTGTAGACACCTGCACAACACTTTACTTCGTTGATAAAAACAAAAAATATTTTACCTATAAGAGATTCAACGTTTCATCTTTTGTGCATATAGTTTAAAAAAATAATAAATTTTTAGAAGAAGGATATGTAAATTTACTATAACGCGCATAGTAACTATTTACAAATATGTACATCTATTATACATATTATATATATACCACTGTGTATTTTACACAATTTAACATTGTTTTTTGTACGTACTTAAACAATTTAATAACAACAAAGTTAACTAGGACCATGGTTAAACAAAAATAAGTATTATAATGGTGATAGACATATTACTAAGATGTCAAGTTGTCAACACGTAAGAATTTATATTCTATATCTTACATAAAAATGAACAATATATTGAATCAATTTTAATAACATGCAATTAATCAGATCTCAGAAATAAAATTTAGATATATGTCTATCATCCTATATCAACTCTAATCAAACATCAGGTATCTCAATTAATCCATCATTAATTATAGTGGAAACAATTAAGCTTACATGTGTTCTGGATGATTACGTATGCAATTGATTAGTTCTGATGGCATGATCTCACCAATGCAAATTCGATGTACAGCTATGAAAAGAGGAAATCTATCTTCCATGTTTCTGGCATTCAACATGTAATGTACCTCATCAGCAGTGAAAGGACCTTGCAATTTTTGTCCATTCAACATTTCTTTTTCTAATTCTTCGATTGTCTATAAACATATCAGTTCTTTTATGTAGCATATTGATATTATAAATACATTACTGCATAGATTTATAATTCATGTAATAAAACTAACCTTGCCAGTTTTTGCAAAAGCTTCCGCAACTTTACGATTACGGCCACCATAACATGTGGTAATAAGATCGGCTACTCCACAACTTTCAAAGAAAGTAGAAAGTTTTCCACCAGGGAAAAATATTTCGACGAATTTAATCATTTCCATAAGGCCTAATCTAATAATTGCAGCCTTAGTATTATCACCTAATCCTAAGCCATCAACGAAGCCAGCTCCGCAGGCTACTATATTCTATAACAATATAAAAAATGAAGAAACATTCATAATTTACATAATTTATATGTTACATAATTTACATAACTCTTTTTCTTTTTTAAATAAAGTTAAAAAATTGATATTTACTTTTTGCAGATAATAATAAATAAAAATAGGAAAGAAATTCAAGAAATAATGTAACTGCAAACCTTTAATGCTCCACAACATTCAACTGTGTCAACATCATCAACAACCGCTACTCTAAAGTATGATGTTTGTATTAAATCTCTTAGTATAGGACCCATTGTTTTATCCTTGCAACCTAAAAAACCGTAATAATATAACATTTATAAGCGTAATTAAAGAATTTAAAATTTATAAAATAATTGTGATATAAATAAATTGGAGATATTCATTTAAATGTTGGCATAAGATGTTTCTTGTTCAGAAATTTTAGTTATGATTTTTCAGTGACTTCTATTGCAGCAATAGATATTTAAACTGATATTTATCTGTATTCTTTTATAGATATAAATTATCCAATTTATATATAAATATGTTTTATTAATGCATTAAATAGTTACCAATAGTAGTTTCACAAAACTTTTCATCTGCCACCTCGGCAGCTAAGTTTGCTCCCATTAAAACTGCAACAGGAATATGAAGCTGTTTTGCAATGATATGAGAAATGAGCTCAATACCACCTCCCTCTTTTTTATTAAAACCCTATAAAATAATAAGAATTTAAATAACTTTAGTACTTAAATATTACATTCATACAAAAGTTAAATTTGAAATCATACACAATAATATAAAATTGACTATTATATGGTACAATTTTACATAGTTAATTAAGAATAAATAGAACTACAAAATTATTCAATAACTGTTAATTTAAAAATGTCATTATAATTTTGCAAAAATATATAATGAATTTTTAAAACTGATTACAAAAAATACTATTAGATTTCATTGATTTTTTATTGTAATTTAATACTACTATAGTGACACACAATAACTAAATAAATAACAGTTACTAATATCATAATTGTAATATGCATTATAAGTATTTATCTCAAGAAATATAGTCAGAGTCAAGTTAAAACTATACCTTTATCAAAGACAGGCCAACAGCAGTAGGCTTAATCTTTCCTAATAATGCACTACATATTGAATTTATAAATTGATGTGGTATTACAAAAATAAGAATATCAGAATCTTTGGCAGCTTCAACCACATCAGGAACTGCAACCTGAAATATTAGAATGACATACATTTTCTAAATAAATAATAGTCTTATAATTAACAAAATTATATATGCAGAATACACATTATTCTTTTTGAAACACTTTATTAAGTCTTGTTACATGTAACAAGTGAAAAACATAAACCATTCTGATCAACATATCAATAAGTCTTACTATAAGGTGTTCTATTCAAAACAGTTAATTAAAAGAAAAACCCATACAGTTTTACTAATTGTTAAAACCAAAATTATATTGAATTGTAAAAAAAGCTTAAATCTTAAAGAAATACTTTACAGTTAATAAATAAATATAAAATGTTAAAAATCTATTATTTCAATCTTATCATTTAAAACTCTATAGTCATCAATCATCAATTCAGAGAAATTGTAGATTACTAGAATTAGTTAATAAAATCAGTTAATGTTCGTTTAGAACCATTTAAATATACAAAAAGAAATGTATGAATCATTATCTTCTACTTAAGAGAGTTACATAAGCAGAGTATATGGTTTGTGTAGAGTAATTTAAAGAAGCAAGGTTATACGAGATGTAAAACATATCTCTCACGTATTCTGTAACTTAATATTTCTACTTGACATCTTCAAAAACTTTCCAAATATTATGGACAATAATAAATTACGTTTATACATAGTATATCAATATAGCATATCAGTATATCAATATGCAGCTATAAGTATAGACATAAGTAAACCTATAGAAAATAAAGAATAGAATACAGTAAGTGTACAAAGTATAATAGATGCTAATATAATAAATATAATAAATGTAAACAAGAAAAAGAAATTTATTTTTTATAGCAGTTTGTAACTTTTTAATAAAATATAAAACTACACATTCTGTTGTATTTATCAATATTAATATTTCAAATGGTTTGAAGACAAATTTAAAATTTACATAGACAATACTATACATTTTTGTGCGGTTTTTTAAAAACGTGTTCAAACATTTGATGTATATGCGGTAGTACAAAAAAAGGTCAGAGGAATTTTTCGATCTTTTCATTTTGATTATTCTTAAATACTTTTGATAGTCAAACTAATTTCTCTGTGTTATCTTAAATTAGTTTCAATCATTTATGATTGAATTGATTACGTACCACATTGTTCGGGATTTTATGTCCTGGAAGATACTTAACGTTTTCATGAGTTGTGTTTATGATTTCGGTCAATTTTTTTCCGTTGATAATTTCTTCGTATACATACATCGTGACATGATTTTCGAATTTACTGAGTCTGTTAGCATTATATCCAACTATCTTAGCGATAGCCGAGCCCCTATAAATCGGTATATGAATAAAAATACACAATATAGAATGCAACATTTCTTTACATAAAAGATAACATTTCAAATCTTATACATGCATTACTCATACTAATTATAAAGGCAATTCCTAACAAATAAACATTTACTTTCAATGATAACTTAAACATTTTTATTCGAAGCTGTTATTAGTTATGTACAATATTAAATAAATGTTAAATAAATGAATTTTCATATTCGTTTTCCTAAAAGTGAAAATAAAATTAAAATAAAAGCGTATAACAAACAAGAAGAAAAATAACAATTATGCACATAGATGTGTAGTTGGTTGTTATATACAACACATAAAAATCAATTCTAAAACAAACATTTGAGTATAAATAATGAAATCAATGATAACGAATCGGCGGATAGCATTAATATTTAAAAATTACGCACCAATTTCCTGATCCAATAATGCAAATACGTAGCTTAGAAGTCATTATTTTGTTTAATTATAACAAGATGCAAGAATAAAAACTGAAGAGAATCGAGAAACGATTCGCTAAACCGTGCAGTTTTAAAGTAGGGGGGCGACTGGACAACTCTGAACGCGAAAAGACTTGCGCCATTTCTCGTAGAAGTGGGAGTGTAGAGATTCCAACGAATGGTGATAGGCCTCCCTGTCACTCGCAAATTTCAGTATAGTTCCTTTGACTAATATAGCGTGATTGTAAATTACACGTTGTAATATAATGCATGGTTATATACTGCGTGGAAATACAATGCGTTATTGTATTCCATATAATGAATGGCGATATAACGCGTTGTGGTATGAGTTGCGATGTAACGCAAAGAAATATATCACATACTGATATAACGAACGGAAATATAAAGTGTGGCAGTCAAGCGCATTATGATGTATCATGTATAAATATAACACAATGTAACTGCAATGTAATGTATAGCAGTATAACACTGTGCAATGTATCGCGTGATAATATTATGCGCTGCAATGTAACGCGCGGAAATATAACGCGCTGCAATGTAACGCGCGGAAATATAACGCGCTGCAATATAATGCATGGCAATGACATATTGCGATGTAACTGAAAATAAAACACGTAGCGATATAATACGTGAGAATATAACGTGCGACAATATAATGTTTAATAATATAATTTTTGGGATTATAAAAATGTTTGTTGATCCAAGCTTTCATTTACGATCGCGCTATATCTTATAAATCATGGGAATTGAACCAATCAAAATGTAATATGATAAAAGACGTATTATCTGTATTTTTACGTTACAAAGGTATAATTTTGTTTACCCAGATAACGACATATTTTTAACAAATATTTTTGTTTATTGGTTTACGTGATATTATATTATTTTTAAATTATAGATTGTACTTCATGATTAGAGATATTGCAGTATATGTCCAGCTTTAAGTTGTCAGTATTTTATTTTAATTTTAAATTCACCAATGTGTTTGAAGTAATAGAATTATGTAATTTATTAATGTACGCACGTGTATGATCTTTTAAATAAATAACATTGAAAGTCGTTAAATCTATATAGATAGACTGTAACCGTACAGCTTAAAGTAATAAGTTTTGAGATATCAACTGGGCTAATATATATTGCTATATTTTTCTATTAAAATATTATTTTATCGAGTACTGATAAATAAAATAGATTTGAAATAGATATATTTATCAGGTGATACAAATTTTTAGTAAATGTAATAGAGAATATAAATATAGGATCATAATAACTGTAGTGAAAAAGGTTAATTGAGAAGAATTTTACTTACATAAAGTAAACTTTATTTTCTAACTCTTCATGTTTAATAAATTTCAATACACAAATATCTGTAAAATAAATATAAAAAGTTTGTAAATATAATAATCATTCTGTAATGGAAATGTTTGTTTTTGGAATTAATTAATTAAACATAATACTTTGCATTATTTATTTTTTACTATTTAACACATTATGCTTTTCATCTTCATCTTTTCATTTATCATTTATATTATGTTATATAGGATTACAATTTGTAAGATACATGTAATCATATAATCATAATTGCAGCTAAATACAGAACATATATATAATATTTATTCACTTTTACTACATATTTCAGATCTAATCACAATTTATATCTTGTGTGTTTTAATAAATTCTATAGGCACCATGTAACGATAATTTATTAATCATAACGTTTAAGATTATAGTTAATTGTGAATTAGGTAAATATAATTAAAATATTTGTTACAAGTACTGTACCGAATAAATTTTAATACCTGATTGTAATTTTTAAAAGTCCCTCTTGAATGCAAAATAATGATCAAAGATCAAATTATTTTCGTAACGGATATGAAAGATTGATTTCATGCTCGAAAAAATAAATTATCTAATTTATTTGAAAACAACGTTAGTGTTCTAATTATTAAATATAATATTATATCATGAAAAGACGTATTCGCTAATAATATATTCTGCGCGTGACATTTCATTTTTTAAATAAGTTGACTTTAATCCTCTGTTGTGGACTGTGCCGTATCCAAAATGATTTCAAACGAAAACGGTTGAAAACTATATCCCAGACCAGCATAAAATTTGCTTTGGAATTCGACCCTGTAAATATAGTTAATAAATATTTTATCAACAAATGTTAGGAAGTTAATAAAGACTACTTATGTTATAATAAAAAGTAATTCGTACCAATGAAGTCGTAACGTATGTAAGAAGGCTGACAATCCTTCCATAAGTACTAAAATACCAACAGTTAGAACAGCCCAAAATGCAAATATGGCCCACAAAACAATTCCACCTGCCCAACCTTCTTGGGTCAATCCATTTCTCATAACCATGTTCCATAATACTTCCGACAATTCTAAACAAAATTGATAAATGATACATATAACAATATGTTTATTATACATTATTGAACATAACAAATTGTTCAATTTTCCACTTACGAGCATGAGCAAGAGATAAAGCCCATAGACGTAGGTATGACGCAGTATGAGACACGCTGCCAAGAACATATTCAATAGTATGGATGCCTTGATGAATAAATACTTCATTCATATCTTCTTCTTCTTCTTTGTGAGTTCCTGGGGCAATTCCATTTGATGGTTGGATTGAGTCAACAGCACCTTCTATGTCTCTGTCTTCTGTGCACTGGTTATTTAACTGTTGATATAAACAAACAATATCGAAGATTAATTAAGGAAATGATTTGTAGTATGATATATTAAATTTTATATTTAACCTGACGATGTTGCTTCTTTCTGTTATATATCATCATGAAAGGTTTGGCACACAACATCCATGGAATGCAAAGAATAGCTATAAAGAGGAGGAATTTTTGGAATCCCTCTTGTCCAGCATACATCCAGGGACTGCATTTTTTGTCTGGTGCAGTACCGCCTTTGTTTAATACCATGTTAATGAAAGTAATTAATACTGATGGTGCACAAAACGGACCATGTTCTGGATCATCATCTATAAATAGCAGTAGTAATGAAAATCTTGTATATTGCATTATATTCTAATGTTAAAATATTGCTTACTATCACTGTTAGGGCCGTACTTTATCCACTTAATGAACATAAGGAGAACCATGTACAAGAAGAGAAACATTAAAAATATAAGTTGTGGAATAAATTCACAAGTTATGCTCAGCTTCCTTTTAAAATATGTATGATTCCATAAACCAACAATTACACCAAACATCATATGCATGACTCCAAAAATTATAGATATTTTCATTTTATATGAGTTCAAAAAGATGATCTTATTTTCTGCCAACTGCCAGACAGGATCCATTCCTATAGGATATGGAGTCTGCAAATATGCATCTTTCTCACTGGGATTTAGTTGTAATCCCTTATTTGCATGTATCGTGTCGTAATTATAATTGATCCCCCAGTAGGAACCAAATATATTTAGCGACTTAGAAAACATGTCATTGTATATAAACCCAGTGTACATTGAGAATAAACCCATCAAAAATATAATGTATCGACCACCAAAGAATATATTCCAAATTTCATTATCAGATTTTTTCGCAGCCAACGGTTTCTCCTTTAACACCATCCATCCACCAAAAAGAAACAGAATAAGTCCATGTCCACTATCTCCAAACATCACAGCAAATAAAAATGGAAATGTTATTATGGTATAAGGTGCGGGATTCATTTCTCTGTAAGAAGCGACTCCATATGCATCTATCAAAACTTGAAACCCTTTAGTAAATTTATTTGTCCGATTATAAGTAGGTGGATCCTCAAAAGTTGCCATACGATTCAGAATTGGTGGTACCGAACTTCCACTACGTTCCTAAAATGATTGATACAAATTATTACAATACTCTTGAATAAAAACCAGAAGCAGTGTTATAAATAATTACAGTTCCACGTCTCAAGGCCAGCTGAATTGTTTCAATGTCCAGCACTGGTACCCAACATTCAGCAATTAAACACTTTTGTGTAACATCTAAATTGAACAAATTCAACGTATGATAAATTGCTTTGATTTTACGGACTTTCACGAACCAATTCTTAATATTTTTTGCAGCAGCTACTAAAACGCGATGACGATGATCTTGAGTTTGTCCAAGGACCTAAATCAAATAATTAAATAAAGATATGCAATAAAGTGACAAACGTAAAGCATAATTTGATTAAAAACAATAAACTAAACTGTATTTAAATCTTCGATTCGAGTCATAACACCCATTGACATTTCACGGCGATCAGCAGGTGCTTCGGGGCAAGGATAAAGAGTAGCTCTGAATCCTTCGCATATCTTTTTTACTCGAGTTTTTAATTGGTCTCCTTGGAAGAATATGATGAATACAGATTTGAAAACTTGATCTCCCTAAAAACCGATAAAATATTTGTATATCTTCAAAATGCAAAAAAGAATATTAAATGCTTTTAACAATTTCAAATTTTACCCACCGTTGACGGATCTTCCAAAGGAGTTTCAATTTCAGCTTGACGCAGAAATACATTTCCACGACAAGCACGCCAGAGCATGCGTTCAAATGCTGGAATACGTTCTCTTAGGATAACTCCTGCCACGAAACTATGTGAAAAATAATTTTAATAAAAATGTACTCGCTATAAAGATGCAGAGTGGTAAGAAAGTTATGCACATATATGAACATGATACATCTATACTGATCACCTTAAATACTTTTTCTTTTAAATCAATAATATTTAATAACATAATAAAATTTAAAGAAACAGCACTCTTCACAAATTTAATTTAAAGAATAGATAGAAGATTGGTATTACGTACGAACAATATTATTTTGTTAATTTTGGAGAAATAATATTTGTGGCAATCATTATAGATTACTCTTCATATGTTATGGCATTCTATTTTTAATTTAACAATATATGGTAAAAATTGCCTGTATGTATTTTGTATTAGAGATTAACTTATTGAAAGTTAATATTATATTACTGATATTAGATTTTCAATCTGTATCGTTTGGCATCTTTATTATTTGTACCTTCTTATGTAGTTTTGTTCATACTTTTATCTTAAAATCCACTTATACATAGAACAATAGTTTACATATTACCATTGAAAAAATGATGATTCTTGTAGCCATGGTTATAGTAGTAAAAAGAAAATAAAGTTTTAGTTTCTGTATAATAAAAGTAATAACGATTACAGTAAAACAACAACAACATCAACAGTGACAATAATATGCAAACTCGGTAAAAAAAAAACCATTCTGATATGCTTAGTTAAGTATAGAAAAGAACTGTTAAGTTTCAAGACATTTAAATGAAAACTACATAAGTAAACAACGTTTAAAAAGAAAGAAAGGAAGACATGTAATTATTAAAATTGTAAAAATATGTAACTGCAATTCATAGAAAGCTTTGTTTGTTATTGTCAGAATTTTATAATGCGGAAAAATGTTAAAACAGTTATAATCAAACTAAATTGAAGATTGTGATATAATTGTATTACTTTTGCAGATTTATTATTTGTTTAAATAAAAATATATCTGTATCTATTTGTGCATTTAGGTAAATTAGGATTTTAGGAATATAAATATTTGTTATGTAGAAAAGGTATACTATTCAATAAAAGAAGCATAAATACATTGTAATGTATTACTACACCATGGGACATATAAAATAGCAGGTAAATATTTTTTATTTCAAAACTGGATTTTAATGATATATTAGAGCAAACTAAAAGTTAAGTGCATATTCAAGTAGAGCCATGACAATTATTGTAAATATGTTTTTGTATGTACAAATTATTATAAAGACTAAGTTATTAGTATTATGTAATGACTCCTTTATAAATTATGCACTTTTTGTTGTTAAGATTTTCTAATTTCTACTAAGAAAATACTTAAGTGACAATAATTAATCATTATCTTACATAGTTAAAATCTATAATGAAATACAATTATCAAACTACTTGTATATATTAAATTATTAATTTTAAATATATTTGTTTGCTTTTGAAAATATAAAAAAATGCAAATTTAAAATTATTCTTAACTAATTAATATTGTGTAATATAGTTTTTATTCAAGATAATAGATCTTTCCACAAAAAATTTGTATTGAATATTTCTTACTAATCAACAAATGTTATATAAAGATTAACAAAAAATTCAGCATTTTTCCTTCATATTCATGATAACTTAAAGTTATATTAGCACAGACTAAAAAGCCTGCTAGTTTTTTTAAAAACCTTGAATTGAGTCTTTCTTTATCACATATTTCTATATCCTTTAATATTTCAGAATTATCTGTTTGACAATTTTATGACCATCACTATCTGATACCATAACATTTTATATTATAACAATTTTTTCATAATTATATCAGATATCTTAAATTATAGTCATAAAGTATATATTTTATGAAGTCATTACGTTAGGTAATAATGTACACTGACTAATTATTTTTTCCTCAAAATAATAGTTTCCTGTAGTATAGGCAATTTAACATACAATTTCCATAGAATCTTATAATTTTTATCATTCAACTTTTTTTTATATATTAAAAGCAACAAACATATTTGCATATAACTACGCTATGTACATAGAAGTCCCTCAGACTTATTACTGAAATAAAAACAGGAATTATTGCATTAGAAACCCAATTCTATCAATCATATATATTGCTGTTGTAATTTCTTATTGTACGAGTTCCATTCAAAAAATTTCAGAAGGATATAATAATGTATGGGAAGGATTTACTAGTCATGGAGTACGTACCCCAGTTGGACAGGACCAAGGGCAGACTGGCGGGCGATATTATCATCACTAATCAATGCACGTGTCATGGACTCGGTAGGATTCAAGCCTGCGTGCTCTTGCTGACGACACAACAGACAAGACACAACCACATTAGCACACTAAACATGACTATAATGCTCCAACGCCACATTGTCTTTGCACAAGTCCCTTATGTTTAATTAACGCAGAGGTATGATTAAAGATATCTTTAATAGTTCATATAGCATGAGAAAATTTGCAGACAACTATCTATTCTGGATATATTTAAAACATTAAAATATACAATGGTTGCCTATAAAAATATTTACTCTTTTTAAAAGAAAAAAGAGGAAAATAAAATACAAGTGGAATGTAAAAAACACATAGTATGATTTAAAAACATTTTGTATCAGCACATAAAAGTATAAATAAAAATTTTCATATCATATCATAATACAGATATATTACAATATTCAACACATTATGCAACACATTGAGAAATGCTTCATAATATAAATTATGGATATAAATATCTTATATTATCAAAAATACCTAACTTTCAGAAAAATTTTATTAATGCATCATATGTTTCCATTTAATTTAATTTAATTATAAATTAACTTGAGTAATTCTGAACAAAGATATCTTAAATCAATAATATTTTTAAGAAAATATGAATTACCATGTGATGTTACATTGTAGTAAAGCTGTTAATATTTATGTATCTATAATAGTTGATAATCATTATTATACATATAATGAAGAAAGTATTTAAAGAAGTGTTATTGCATGGCAATTCTTATTTAATAGATTAACTGAAAAAATTCAAGCTGTAATTATACCTGTTAGAATTCAATTAATGTTAAGTTCTACTTAGATTTACTTAGAAAGGTCATAAAAATTGATAAATTCATTTTTTTTGTATTCATACTTATAATAATATAGAACATAATGTGGTTAATTCTTGGAGCAAGAGAAGAATGAAAAGAAATTTCCACTAATGGATGTATGTTATCATAACCACTATGCCCTTTACAAGTTTACTTATTTTAATCTATAAATAGATTTATGTGGGATATAAGAGATATTAGTAATCATTCAAAGTTCATTTAACTCCTTTCAGCATTGAGTATTTGGAAGTATGCCAAATTGAGATAAAAATATAAAAAACTAAATATCTGATTCCATATTTATTATTTCTCTTTGTATTTTGAAGTTGTGTACAGTTCAATAGGACACATATATTTGCCAAAGGTTTTTTATGAAACTGAACAGACTAAGTAGTTTTAGTTCTTTTTTCCTTTATGTAAATACAAAGATTATGTAATAATAATAATACTTAAAACTATTTTGTAACACAACTTTTTACTTATAAACATTACTTTCAAAAAATATTTAGTCTATTCATTTTTTCTGAATATTCAATGAACATTCAATAATAATAAATTTCTTTGACAATATTTAAATTTCCTATTTCCACTCTGCCTATTAACTCATTATATCATTTTAAAATAAATCTATCTATAGATACAGATTAATTATTTCTAATTTGTATACACATTATATTTTCATTTGGATACTGTTTTCTTGTTTTTGACAAATTTAATATATCATTCTATATAGCATGACAAATTTTTTTTATAAATAAAATGGGAACACAATTTCTTGTAAGCATAATCTAGGATAATAATAAAGCATAATCTATAATGCAAGCGTAATAGCGACATAAATGCGGAGACTTTTCATATTCTTACTCAAATAAACGGAAATTGTTAAACATTTAATGCAATTAATACTTTTCTATCAACAACCAAATAATAAGATATACATTGGTGCGCAACATGCAATACAAGCTGACTACATGTGTTAAAAGGGAATATATGCATATCTATATGTGTATGTATGCACATGTATGTATGATGTACATATGTATTGTTATACGTACCCATGGCCACACCATCATCATTTTTGTTATTTACATGAAAGATATAAATAAATAATAAATGAATGAATTCATATACTACTTATCATATAAATACTCGATACAGTTTGAAACTTTTTTTGAATGAATTTAAATATGTTATATAAATGATGTCAAACTGTATCAACTGTTATACAACATAATGTTTAAATTACATTTCAGAGTAGTGATTTAACACACATACTAGTAAGAAACTGATATATATTTTTTTTAATAATAATTAATATGTGATCAATAGGTAGATGTTATTCAATTAAGCAAACAGTCGTATTTGTCTTTGAAGAGCATCTAAAGTCGCTAAAGCAGTGATTTTTCACGTTGCCACTTATAAACATCATATGTATTTATTATTACCTAATTTTTTTCTCCTTTTGAAGTAATTTAAAAATCATAAAAGTGTTAATATACAAAGTGTAACTGAACAGATAATTGAATAATTGTGATAGATTAGTTCAATGTGTACAAATGGAAAAACCAATGTGTGAACATAAAACAAGTTTACTGAAAAATTAATTAATACAACAACAGAATATTAATAGGAAAACGAGATATTTTGACCAAAATATTACATTTTCACCTCAAATAATTAATGTAGTGCATTCAAAATGAAATTAAAATATAAAACAATCAAAAATTTTTTTTATACATAAAAGTATTGAAGTTATATGTAAAAATTCTCGTTTTCCTCCTTTGATTTTTCAAATTTAACTTTTTTAAATGTGACTTCTTGAACATAAATTACAAACTTTTTTAGCGACTATATTATTAGTGCTCATGTTTGGTTTAACAAACTAAAGGGTTTTAAGTAACTACAGGTACAAAAAACACGGAGCAAAACAGATTTTCAAATGCAAATAACGGTTGATAACAGCTTGCCTGAGGGGATTCCTATAGTGTGCTTCTATGGTGTCTGCCGTAGTATACAGGTGCTGTAACCACAGAACACACTGACGCATCATGCCCTCTACTTAAAATCTATATTTATACAATGCCTAATAGCACAGAAAACATTTATCAAAAGCTCTGCAATATGTGCAGATTATGAATATTAATAATGAATATTATGGATATTAATAAATTTTGATTTTATTAAAAAGTGCATACGGATGTATCCATAGATTTAATGTTTCCTTTGTTGCTTTAATATATGACTATAACAATAAACTAAATTTTTAAAATAATTTAAAATTAAATCTATAGAACATTTAAGTTGTACAAACACAATTCTTAGCCACTGGTGTTTAAAATGTAGAACGTAAGGATTCTTTTTTACATTGCAGATTTAAAATTACATTATTAACATTAGTAATATACAATATTTATGATATTAAATGATGGTATCTTAAAAAATATAAGAAAAAAATTGTAGACATATGATTATCATGTAATAAATTATAAAATGAAATTATGTAAATTTAATAATTACTGTAGGAAAATCTATGAATCTCGACGCTCTACATTATTTGGAGCTACACCACATTTAATTACCCGAGCTTGAGAGCCTGGCCGCCAGCGCGGAGGCCCTCTTCACCCAAGAGAGTGACTTGTTCTTCCTCACGGCTGGGGTCTGCCATCTGCGACACGACACCTCCATTCTCAGCCTGGCAACAGACACATGTCACCTCTCTTTTGCCCTATCTCCCGACTTGTCCAATATTTCCTTCATACATTTATTAAACTTACCAATCTTAATACAGATGGTCAATATAACATTTCATAAAGGAGTAGAAAATAAATGTATGAAATTAAAGAATTTTCCGACTTTAATCCAAATCAAACTTAATTTCCAATTTATGCGACATTTCATTTTGCTATGTTCTTTAATTAAAAACAATAATACAGGATACTTGACTCAAATGTCTACTCTATTTAAATTATTACAGATATCAAAAGAATTTGGGCAATGTAGACATTTAGTTCAAAGAAACAACTGAACCGGGTGATTTAAAAAATTTCAGAATTAATGTTGTACTTCCAAATGAAACTTTTTATAATTTTGAGTATTATTTAAGTAACTTATTTGAATAATACATGTTGATCTATATTGAGAACAAAAATGATTTTTCTTTAAATTATTTCACTGTTTTTATAATTTGTAAAATGTAAAATAATTAGCTGAAAGTTCATTATTTCAAATTGTTATTTTTTATTTCATTCTAAATGAAATGTGCCCAAGTTTAATCTGTAATTAGTTTCATTTAATAATAAATCAATAACTCCTAATTATATATATTCATATCATCAGCAAACATTTTAATCAAATAAATGTTAACTATCACATTTGCATCTATGAATTAAATGACTTTTGTATGTACAATTTTTTGGTATCTGTAATAATTTAAGTGTATGTACATTTAAGTCGAATGCAGTGTACAATAATATTACACATATTTTATCACAAACTGTTTCAAACATCACGCATCAAGAACAAATGCATGTTAAAGATATTTAAGACTTTTGGACTTACTCTTTGTCGCAGAATATTGCATAGAACTGCTCAAAATGCTTGTTTTACAAATGTGTTGATTCTGTATTAAGAAAGTACTGTTTTGGATTAATAATAATTTTATTTAAATAAGTATAGCATTTATGTTCTTAAGTATTTAATACATATATATGTAATAGGTATAATTTAACAACATTCAGAACTTTAGGAAAGCATCCATTAAACTTGATTCCTAATAAAAAAAGTTACAATAATTAAATCTTACTTCAACTTTATACAACTATAAAAATATTTGCTACAAAATGAATTACAAAATTATTGACACAAGCAAAAAAAACATTGACATGTATTACGTATTTCACAAATACAACTTAAAACTTTTACACTGTTTAATTTTAGAAAGAAACTTAGTATATTTACAATACTTCTGAAACGTACAGTTAAAGGTAAGTCTATGCTGAAAGTAATTAACAAATATAAAAGTTAGAAATATTATAATATGTTACTGCAAAAATACAAACAAATTAAAAAGAAATGAAATAGAAAATTCGGCATTATAAAGTTGATTGCAGGAAATGAAAAAATAAATTATTAAGAAAAATAAAAGAAAATCCTAAAGTTAGGTATCCTAAACAGAATACAATGCTTAAATATTTATTCTAAAGAACTGCTTTTTATGAGATGTCAAATAATTGAAGCTAAATAGAGATACAGAAGGATTAATACTGAATGAAAATACTACAAATATATTTTTTGCTTGCATCAATAATTTTATAATTCCTTCTGGAGATTCTCACTATATCATTATTGAAATTATGCAAGGACATTTTATGCAATTCTATAATGCATGTGTGTTTTGATAAAATTTTTATTGTGATATGTGATGGTTAATAACTAAACTATTTGACAAATATATAAGGATTTATAGAAACTAGTTATTGGACTATAGAAGTACTTTCTATTTAGTAAAAAGAACTATACAGAGCAGTACAGTTCAATTTAAAACAATTTATGAAACAAAAATGTGTTTTCTATCAAAATTCTTTTTTAAAATGTTTTTAGCATGCATTGTTTGTTTGTAATGATGACACTTTCTATATACACATTACATTTACAATACTTGACATGCTTCATGCAAAAAAACCATAAAATAAATATGCTTTAAATTCAGAACAAGTTATGTAGTTTAAATTGTTATGACCATATCTACCAGTTAGCTACATGCATGTCATTCTTTAAATATTTAACAATTCAAGCATCAGTTCTATATCTTATTTTGATGCATAAAATTCATTATTAAGCAACTCGTGCGTAATTTCATATTTATTAAAAAAGAAAGATAAATAAACATTAATGGTTATATTCTTTGCCAAGGATAATACACTATAATAAGTTCTTTTCTCAAAAAATAATTTTTCAATTAAAAATGTGAAACATCATGGGTACAATCTGTCTACATGTTAGGTGCAAAGCAACCTATTTTAATCTAATAACAAATTATTATTATGAGATACAAAATGTTGTTATTTGAAATATTTCAAATAGACATTGCTTATAGTTTTTAAGAGAACACAATATAATGACAAATATTTCAATGTGAAAGAGTAGAAATTATGTAATTTTCACAAAATATTAAAATCTTCATCATTATATTCAACATTTCTCAAAACTATGTATCCTTCCAGGGATTTTTTTTTTGTATATATATTATTTCAAATATTGACAATGTATCCATTAGTAGGTTGAAATTGATTGTATAATTTACATCAGGAATGACTAAGTCATGAGCCACTATTTGGTCATGCCTGATTTATACAAAACATTCAAACTCTTGGTGCCACAGTTAATAATACATAATTATATAATATACTGTAAGTCTAGTAAATTTGATATAAATATAATATTTTTCATACTTCCATGTTTCCACTAATTCAATTGCAAAATATAAGATGGTTACAGTTTACTTACTGTTGCATCTACATACAATTTAAGCATAATTTTATTTTAAATGTATCCTCTAAACAAATTATGTAGTGTATGTCTATTATATTATATGTATGTAATGATTTGTATAAGACAGATTTGTAAGGGATGTCTTTAAAAGAATAAAACTAGGGGATTACAGATAACTATACTAAACAATGAGTCAATGATATATTAAATTAAAAACACTTATTTACTACACTTATATGTTCATATATATGTACCAAATCGATTCAATTGAAAAAAATGTATCTGACATAAAATCCAATAAGAAGTGCAGTTATTGGAAAACAATTTTATAAGTACTGCAATTACTTCATTATGTTTTATATATAAATGCAGAATGTTTTTGATGCATGTACATATTACTAATCAATTTGATGTAATATTTAACCATAGAAATAAGAATAAAATATAATGCAATTCCTTTTTAGTTTGTTACAAGAAGAGGAGAAATTCAAAGGATGTAGGGAGATAGGGCTTCGATAGTGACTTGTGTCCTTTGCAATTCTGCAACTTTGTTAGTTGGCAATACTAACACATTAATGTCTTAATTGTCCTAAAATCACTCAACAGCATCATTAGTAACACGAAACAAAAATAGCTTATATCAATGTTTCTTCGATTTGGTTATTTGATTATTAGCATTATTAAAATTACTATTTTGTATATATCGTAAAATAATTTCACTTCTCTTATACAAAACTGCAAAGCAATTGCAAAAAAGGCATTGAAAAGGCATCAATTTTTATTGCCATGCATTTAACCCTTTGCAGACAGAGCGCTTCTAAGCTCAACGCCATGTATGTACAGAATATTCTTAATTTCAAGTAAGATAAATATGTTTCTAATATTCACATTTATAGTTATTATGGATTATCATGATTTTCTTATGATACATATATGGGTTGATCATCTGCAAAGGATAATTACTTGTATAGCTCACAAAGCTATACTAAAATTCACATAATGAAGCGTATAATTATTTTTATTAGAAATTTGTCTATAACAGATATTTGACTCAAAACATTTATTAAATTTGTGGTAACTGCACATACAAAGAATTTTCCACCTAAAATATGCCCCTTCTTTTGTATAAAATGCAACAAACATTTAAAAGAAAAATTGTATGATTCAAGATAATAAATATTATAGTTGTAAAATTCAAGATATTGCCTGTGCTAATCATATTAAAATTCACCACATAATCAGTATAATTTTTCAATATTTTTTTCAGATGAGATTAACTATGCTTACATAGTAAATTATATCATACATAAGTTTTACCTAAAACTTGTTGGCACCAACATTGAAATCAATACTAGAATAAAAATTACAGAAACTGACAGAAACTTACAACATTGTATGATGTCTTTGATCAAATATCAGAGTAAATGTATTTTTTCAATTGCAATATCATGCTGATGATAATATTTGTAATGAATAATTTTAAATACTAATTAATTAAAAAAGAATCCATAATTTTGAATGGAAAATTCTAATATAGGAAAATCTTTCTAATTAGTGCAGTTTTTCTTACTATTCTTTAGAACTACTTCACAGAGATAATTTTTATGATATTACTGTCTGTGATCAATTACCATCTAATGATAATTCTAATTTATTCGAATAAGCTTTCTTTTACTGAAAATTGTATAAAATATGAAAAACCTTAGAAAATTAGTTTAAAAAATGTTCATTATTAATATTAAATTTTTTTTCATTCAAGATTATTTAACATTGCACTACATAACATAGTTAAACCTGTTTTAATAATATTATATTATACTAATAAAATTGTAAAATATACTTTTAAATGTTGAATAAAGTAGGACAATAAGATATAACTAATATTGATAATAGTAATTATCAAAACCGTTTAAATAACATTTTGTTATTTTTTATGATAAAGGAGATAATTAGTACTCCTTCTCCTATACATATTTCAGTCTATATGCTTGTAGTATATGTTGTTAGGAATACATATTTAACCACATTTTTTATGTATTATATTAAATTAATATAGATTATATTATATTAATGTCCTTACCTCATCGAAAAACACTTGAGTTTTTCTAAGTATATGTTTTAACTCTGTCAATTCCAAAAAATTACGTTTGAGAGCTTCTGCATTTTGATTGACCTCCCGTAACTCGTTTTCCAGCTTTTCAAATGTTGCTTCAAGATCTATCATTTCCCTAGGCTGAGGAGCTTCTGGATTTTCCCCAGTATCAAGCATAGGAATGCCATCTTTTTTAATTTCTTTCTCCAGGTACCGCAACTTCCGTTCCATTTCATCACAACGGCGTACTTCATTGACAAATTTTCGTTGAAATGCATTAACATCAGGATTAAGCTACATAAAAGAGGAACAGTATTATTAAAAAATATAGTTTCATTAATGTATGATACAAATATTACACAATTATATGAAAAAATATCATAAAAAATATATATTTTAAAAATTTTATGTAATAAAATATTTATATGATAAAATAATACACAGATATAATTTCAATGCTATGAATAGAAATTAAAATTTATCTTCAATTTTATATTTAAATAAAATTTATTTTATGATACAAATTGAATGCTTCCATTGTTATCTTATCTATAACGTTTTAAGTTATTTATATGGATTACAAGCTTAGGAAAAGTAGATAGATTTAAAAATAGATTCTGCCATAAAATATATTTTATAATGCTCATGTTTTTTATTATGTAACAAAATTTATAATTACATTTCTCTTTTTATTTACAATATAAAATCAATGATTAATTGTACTCTACTATTTCAAAATAAAATGAAGTATTAAACATAATAAAGCTTACTTTGGCAATATTTCTGTAGAGAATAGTTAGTTGTTGGTATTTTTATTTAAATTCTTAATTTTTGTAATGAAAGATTATTATGAGAAAATGCAATTATGTAAATTTCTAATATAGTAAATAAATTGTTCTAAAATAATTTGAAGAGCAGATGACTACAGCAAGTTTTAAACCACTATCTTCCACATATAAGAGCATAGCATTTTTTACTCAGGCATGTTATAATATAAAAACTATGCTTTTGATTACTTGATTAATACATCTTCTAATAAGGATCTTTTAGTAAGAAAGTAATAATTGAAATGAAAATACAAATATCTAATTATTACTTTCTTAATACTACAGTGTATTATATATTATATGATATTAAAATAATAAGTTACCAATTATAAAAATTTATTTTTTCAAAAGGTTTTATATAGTTATATATTTATAACTATACATGATTTTATAATGAATATTTTCATTGTATATGTGCATTAAGGATAACACTTAATGTAAACTAAGGATACAAATATCACTGACTAAAGTTGTATGAATATTACCTTCTATTATATGAATGACTCAATTATAACAAAGGAGAATGTTAATGGATATCTATTATCTAAATATCCACTTTTGTAAATTATTTTTTTTATTGGTTTCGATAAATAGAGTTTTACTGCATAATAGATAATAAAATAATAGATTAGAAGTATAATAAGGATATGAAATAATAGAATAAAATAGCCAAAATAAAAATAGTGAAGCGCTAAAATATTCAGTTATTAAGACAAGAAAATAATACAAGGCTTAAAAAAGAATGTCTGTCCTTCGAAAAGCATATTCAGGTAGATGGAAAGATTCTGTATCCTTGAACAGTATGATTACCAAAAGAGTTAACATTATGTTAATTTGTCAGAAAAATATTTTCTTACGTTATAATGTATTTAGGAGGATTTGATCAGCTATAAAATAAGTAATTAAAATTCATATCATACATTTTACATTTGTTACAATTTTTAACATTGCAATACCTATTTCACCTTATTAACACAAAAATTATAAGTGTTATACAGAAATTATGTGTAAAGGTTCCTTAAGAAAATTAATTTTTATAAAGCAATAATAAAATGAAACTTACGTCTCGAAATTGCACAAGACCAAGTTCCCCAAGTTCAGAAACACAGGCGTAAGCAGCTTCACTTTGCAAAAAGAGTTGACACAAGGTCATCTCTTCGCTTCGAAAAAGTGATCCCATATTTGTCTTTAACAAAATTGCAGTGATCCCTATGACAAATTAACTAAAACTACAACATAAAAACTAAACTTTTTTTAGAAAATCTAAAAATAGAAAACTGGCTGAACGTATTACTGATTCCCATAAGTTTCAGAAGTTCCTTCTCTCAAATGTTTAACGGACACACCAACTTCTGATTGCGGATAGAATAAGTAATCAATAGGATAGTCACGAGGTAAGATGGCCATATATTACAAGTTGACGGTGTATCGTTACTCACATTTTCAGTTAACGCCCAAAAACTACACTAGCGACAATCCAAACAGCGTGTTTTTACGAACTCATTTGAATAAAAGAGCCAAAAGATTTGAAAATGTTTATAATGTTAACACATATAAATGTACTAATCAGAAATGCTTATAATCCCATATTATATTCCTAAATCAAAATAACAAAACAAATATATTGTCCATAATACTAAATTGACAAATCATAAATTAAAAATTTTTCTTTTTCTTTCTAAAATACAGAAATCATAGGAACGATTTTATTTTATAAAATAATTTTAAATGTATATATAGTTATTAACAAGTATTATATATAAAACACCCTTTTTTTCTATATGTATAGTTCATATGTTCATCACTACGTGTCAGCACATCCGCAATCTCATGTCATAGGTAGTTTCCATATCTATTGAAGTATTGGATTAGCGTGTCATATGATAAACTTATAGATTGATATTGAACCTGAGGGAGTGTCTTAATTTTATAATTAATTTCTTGGAAATAAAAATGTTAAAATTATTCGTGTGTTTCATAGCTATATTTATTGCAGGTATCAATTATTTCACGAATACTATAAAATAATACTTAAGTATAGTTTAAATTATCTCAGTGATTAGAACTTGGAAATTATAAATCAGATCTTACTTTTTTTGCATTACAGTTGCAGCAAACGGAGATTTTGTAGTTCTACACAGCCCAAATAGTGTCTTATTTCATGGGAATGAAGAGGTAGAGCAAAGCTTACTTAAGGAAGTGTTAGCTGCTGCATTGGGTTTCACCGTTAAACTGGTATATTTTTAAATTATTTGTAATATTTCTTATGATAGTACAATTTTCCCACAGAAAGATTATTAAATCTCAATTTGAAAGATGCTATATGTCTATAATTTTTGAATTAATGTATTATTATTATTATAGAGGGGAGTATGGAGCGGTATCTCTATCACTGATCCATTTAGTCTACCAGAAGCCGTAGTGGCAGTAGTGATAGAAGGTATAGATTCTTTAGACATTCCAAAAGGCAAGAGATTTCCTTTGAATGTTAATGAAGTCGAAGAAACCACATGGCAAGCTCTTAGAGGACGCCTCGAAGAAAGAGATAACGATAACACTTTAGTAAGAATTTCTTTGGGAGATGGTTTAGATGCTGTAAGTACTACAATAAAATATTAATCTAAATAAAATAACAAATATTTTTATGTAATAAGATTAAATGTATAATTTATACAAATATTTTTCTTTCGATCTATATGTTAATGTAGTTTGTATATAATATGAGTTTAGCTAGGACAGTCAGCACTTGGGGAATTAAAACCAACTCCTATTGATGAATCGTCTTTGAGAGCCTTAAGTTTAAGAAAGGAAGAAGACAAGAAGTTTCTTGAAGAAGTACAACTGCTCCATGCAATTGCTAAAAAAGCACCCTCTGCAATTAAACCAGATTCGAAATCTGATATTTATTGGCTCGTTATATCTGGTTTACGCCCAATTTTTGATGTTTATGGCAGCAACTCAACTGCTTCTAAGGAAGCACTATCCTTACTGAATAATGCTTTAAATGTTATTCATGATGCATTTATTCAAGCTTATGATGGCCAGGTATGAATTTAATCATACAGAAAAAATACCATTGTATAACTTTTGGTATAAAATAAAAATGTTTAATTTAGGTATTAATTGTGGCCTTTACAAATGATGCAAGCAAGGTGCACCATATTCGGTCTGTAACTCAAGAGAGGCAGAAACGGGAGACTTTAGATACTGATGGAAAAGAAGTGGTTTGTATTTAAAGCTTTTTTAATTTATAATATAAGTTTTTATTTTGGATTATCATACTGCTTTTTATATTCACTACAAATATGGTGATATTAAATTTGTGAAGAAAGGTAAAATAACCATTGATTATACTCAATAAGTAACTGAAAAGACTTTGTGAAGATCTTAAGTATAGCATATAATTTTTTATTAATTGTACATGAAGTTGATTGGCCAATAAGGAATGTCAGACTTTCCTGTAAGATATTGTTTCAGTGAAGTTGTAGAAATGCTTCATCAATTTTTGTGATTTTGAAATATGTTGTTAGAATTTGACAGACTGAATATTTTTTTCTGACAAGAAGTAGTAGACTCCTTTAGTTTCATCGAATGTATTGTACTAGCAACACATTTTCCGCTAATATGTCAGAAACTAAGAGAGACTGGCACTTTTGTCAAATGGAAAAGCGGCTCAAAATCTCGAATTCTATAACATACTTTAAAATTATCAAAATCGATATGTGAATAACTTTTTTACAAGTTCACAATCCCTTTTGCTATTTGTAACTTTAAATTTTGTTTGTCTTTAAATATGATTTGAAGATGAACAATGATAAGATGTATTTTCATACAATGATGTTTTTTTATTTACACAAACATAAAATGCGGTATAAACAACAAAAAAAAATATTTTCTGATGTGATTGGTGGTGGTGTTCTGAATAAAAGAAAGGTACAAAGGTGGTCCACAAAATTTTGTGATAGACATTTTAGTCTTATCAATGATAAATGTTTTGGTAAACATAAAATTATCTTGAAAAATCTGACATTATTTATTAGCCAACCCAATATCTTAATTTTTAAAGCATTATACTTGTAACATAAATTACATGTTACTTCTTTGTTAAAAATTGTTACGCACTGCATAAGTATGAGATGTTTGGAAACATCTTTGAAAATACAGGGTGGGACATAATAGAAATAGCAATAAAATGCTTTTTTCATATTAGAAGGTTAAAGGAGATCTTTTATCTGATATATGAGGAATCACATATACACCATTGTAACCATCGTATCCACCTTTTCAGCAGCATTATCTCATATAAGAGATAGAAAGCTCCTATTAACACGTTGATTGCCAAGTCATTCATGTGTGGGTAATCCATTATCATAGGGGCCTATTATGTATTATAGGAGTTTTTGTATTCATCTGATTAGGAATGTTTGTATTGCATAGTTAAAAGTATGGATAATAACAGTAACAATAATAGATAAGATTTGTTAAAGATAAAAATATTACTTGATGAAACTTTTAACAATTTCACCATGACAGTCATCGTGTTAATTATGACCTTACTAGTTTGTAAGAAAAATGCTTATAATTTTTTATATGGTCCACCATGTATTTATGATACTTTTAATTTCATTTCAAGTACAACGAAGTTGCATCAGAAAGTTCAATTATTGTATCTAACAGCTGTATCCTTTATAGGCTAATAAAACTAACAATATAGAATCTTCTACGGATGTTAAACATAATAACAACAATACGAACTCTTTTAATGCTAATATGTTGAGTAAGGTATGTTAAAAGTGTTGCATGAGTGAATTTTTAATAAAAGTAAACAAATGTGTTTGAATTAGAAATAGTTTCCTGCATGATTTTTAAACTTGTTAATAAATTATACAACGCAGAATTTGTAATTCAGTAATTCAAAACACATTTTTGGTTTAATACTTGAAGTTATTAAAACGTATACAACATTTTATTATTATACAAAATATACTAAAACATAAATTCATAATCCATACATATATATTTCAGCAAAGAAAGGTTATAATATTTAAATCATATTAAAAAAAAAATCAGAAAAAATATGTAATAACTAACTTGAATAAGGGATTTAATCTATTTATAATTTCCATTTCATATGTTAATTATATAAAACATGATCTTTATTTTTAATATTTCTTTATAAATAAAAGTTGCTAAAATAATTAGTGTTCATATTTATACTTTAGCAACATTATTTTGTGCACAATATGAGATCAACGACTATCGTAATTGATTAGGTTTGGATTATCTCAAATTTTGCAACATACATATGTTGCTTTATAAATCATGTACTTATAGCAAGATGAACATCAAGGTGACAATACAAAGTTAACAAATGAAGAGGATAAAGATACAAACATTGATAAGCCTGAACATTTTGATACAAACGGTGATACAAACGTTAGTAATCATAATGATAATGGAGACATTAACAATAATACGAATTTGACTAACGGGGAGAATATAGTAAAGTCTAACAGACAAAGTATAGGACAGGTACCATGAATACTTAAAATTTTACGTATTTTTAAAAATCTTAATGTATTCTATTATGTTGAAATAAGGTTGTGCTAATTGCAAGAATAATGAATATATCTTCATTTATTTTAGCAGTATATTTTAATTTAGGAGACTATTTCTTTAGCTGATTGTTATGACTTATCATATTCTATCATTTTGGTGTCTTGATTGTCTTGCATTTCATAAACAATTACAGTTTACTTCTTCAGGTCCGCAATCAATAATCAAAACACCAATTCAAATCATCACAAAAGCTTCAAATATTTTTTTAGCATAAAATTGTTATGTATTTTTGTTATCGGTAATTAGTAGAACACGTGTAAAATTGTAAGTAAATCTCTATTAAATTGTGCATGAATTTAGTAAGTAATTTAAATTAAAACAATACTACAAATTGAACTATACATTTTTTACGCTATATGACATTGAAAGTCCTTTATTATTTTGCAATTTAAGGCTTTACATTACAAATGTAAGCAATTAACATTAGTATGCTTAAATATTATGTGGTTCTGTACACAACAATGCATGTTTACACATGACCATCCATTTATACAACATATATTGTAAACTGTAAATAGCTGTTGCAATAGTTAGCTAGTAATTTCAGAAGTAGTAAAAATACGGTTTTAGATTGCAAAATATGAGAGTTTTTAGATTTGCTATGATACAAGCAGTCTTGAGTTATTAATTTAGCATGTTTTATTTCTATATTATATAAATGCTTTCAATGTGCTTACATAACAACAGTGCTTGTTATTAACATATATTTATAATTAATGCTACAATATCATGTAGCACTTGATAAAATGCATGATAATTTATTACAGGAAATATGTAATACAGAAAATCTAGTTTAAAGAAAAAAGAATATAATTTGAGCTAATTATGTCAGTCTTATGGTACAAAATGCGGAACATATACAAATTTTGTAGCATTATCTCATGTCATGTTTATAAGGCTTTATAACTTTTTCTTTTCTTAAATAAATAAGCTTCCTCATTGTAGGTATTAAAATGTTTAGAATTCAATAAATTCAAGAATGAACGTTATTGTAGTTAAATACTGCAAACGATTATGATGGTGTAAAACATCAAGTTTTTTGTTTTAGGAAATCAAAAACTTGGCAAAAGAATATTCCACGGATTATCCTGCCATCTTTAACATTATTTTATGGTTTGGAGTTGTTTTTGTTTTCTCGCTGCTTGCTATTTGCAGTATGTAATCATTTCTTTACTTTCATTTCCTAAAATTTTATACTTTCTCTAATTTTTATTTATTACAAATACAGTTGCCATTGCTCAGATGGATCCTGGACGTGATTCCATAATATATAGGATGACTTCCAATCGTATGAAGAAAGACAATTAAATGTAAATATAAATTTAAATTAAAAGAATCATTCTGTATATCTATTGTACTTAAATCATTAACCTTGCTTAATAAGCATGTATCATTTCAGTACATGAAATATTGAAAAAATGAAAGGAAATTTTTTTCCTACATATTATAACAACTATTGTAGTGTATTTATGTGCACAATAGTTGTAACACGTGTGATATAAACAGTCAGTCATTTCGTTCTCATCTGTTATATACTATAGAGAAATATTAAACAGCAGAATTTTATTACATGTAATATTTATATTAGATTAAATCTGTTGTAAATTAGCCATAAGTAATAATAAAATATACTTGAATGTTAAGTAATTCAAAATAAAGTAATAAAAATCAAAGTATTATTAATTTATAAATAACTAATAATAATTAGTTTTGTTATAGGTCATTTTGAACATCCAGCATTGTTAATTGTGATTCACCAATTATATTACTTGGTGTAATATATTCTCAAAAGGGCTCGTAATTCGTACAATGGATAAGCACCCTTTGATCAAAATGGGATCATATAGGTAATCTTTTCAGAGATATGGGAATCCCATTGGTTATAATTATTTTCTGTTAGTAAGAAACTGAAATAGTCATTTATTGTTTAAAAAAATCATAAAAGTTACCTAAATAGATTAATTTTATGAAAGAGAAGTATTGTATTTTATAACAGTATTATGCTTTAAATTGTTTTTTAATATTATACTTTTCGCAACACTTTGACGGGAAAGGGTTAAAATAAAAGGGTCAATTTTGTTACTGAAAAAATTAAAGATCTTCAACTATGAAATTCTGGATTTGTAACATATTTTTCTTGCCAGATACCAATTATTTGAAACCTTGTGCGTGAACTTGTGCTATTGTGTGTGTTAGTGAATGGAAATAGAAAGAGATCGCTGCATAGAGGTCTTTTGTATCCCTCTTTTATTACGCATGTGTATTTGCTAGTTGACTAATGTTGCGCGCGATATTTCGAAAACTTCTATAAAAAAATATAAAAGTCATAATTTCCGATAGTTGCGTTTATTTAATAAATATAAATTATATAATTAAAGAATTTTATAATACTACAACAGAAATCTCAGATTATGGGTGAGAAGAAATTAACATGAGAAATGGAATCTTAACCCTGACAATTGATGTCATAGCTGTTCTGAACAACGTGATACCGCTTTTGTAAGTACGTAGAATTATAATTAATTTATTTGTTTTAATAAGAAATTATACTCACATGCATTATTTTTTATTAATTATGTTGTAAATGATACATAGATATCATAAATAAGGTAAGTAGAAATAATATAGAAATACTCTAACTTATAAATGTAATATACATTTTTTGAATTTTCAAAATAATGTGATTCATCATATTTTAAATATGTACAGTAGTTTTAAGAAAATATTTTTGTAAAATAATATAAGTAGTATTTAAAATTTGATAAAAAAATCTTTCTGGAAAGCCAAGAAAGGTTAAGTGATAACGCGGGAAAAAGGTTAGGATAATTAACTATTAAGTAATTACGCAATTGATTATTAGTTAATATATTTAATCTTTTTTTCTTGTTTCGGAAAACAAAAGTTTTTTTATTGAAATGGTAGAATATTTGTTTTGTTCCTACTATTTCTGTTATATGGTGAAATGCAAGCTAACCTATGACTTGTACCGGTTTATTCGTCAAACAAATAAATACAGATTACCACGTACAAATCAATATTTAAAATAATTTTGCTTGAAGCTTTATGGCTCTAATCTTATCATATTAATACATAAGTAGACTTATAGTTTATACTACTCGTTACAATAAATAGACATACGTATGTATATAGATTGTATATACGTAAGCCAATATATTTAAAGACTTGGCTCTTTTTATGATGCTATTATAATATTAATACTGACTTGAAATACATTGAAAAAGCTGTATATTTTATTAAATAAGTTACACACAGAAATAAGAATGGAAAGTTAGTATAAGTAAATAAAACTTACCTGTATTGTTGCATTTATTTGGTAACTTTAACAGAAATTAAAAATAAAAAATTTAGAGTTATGGTAAAGGCAGACAATTAAAACTAGGCATGAGTTTATTTTGTTTCCTCTATCAATGGCCCCTCTCAAGGATGGGATTTGTCCCTATATTCCTAGGTCCATGAATAAGCGTGACCTACGCATTGCGCATCAAAACGCGCGCACCATTTAATGCGTTAACACGCATGCGTGAACAGATAAAGACGCGAGGGGCCATATGCAGCGTTCTTTTTTCATTGCTGTATCGCTTTTTCAGTTCGCGCATTCTATCCTCATATCTCTATGGGTCTGCTGTGGACTGTTTGCGTTGAAGGTTTAATCCCCACCTCCGTCGGCATCCCACTCTCCCGCCAAAACCTACCCAGGTATTCTGATCCCACCACTAGACTACAACACCTGTCACTACTACAGGAAACGACTAGTGTTTTCTGTCAGCTTGCGTTTAATCCACTTTGACTTATATACGACAGTGTTGATTTCGACAATTCTTCTCACATGCATCGCGTTTGATAGCATCAGGTTGAGATAGTTATCTGTCATAGAGTGTGTAAATTATCCGACGATCATTCGCACTCGGATATTGGTAAAATTCGTGGAAACACTCGATGATGGAATGAAAAACGCACTGAAAAATTGTTTCTTTATCGTTTTATTTACTTGGATGAAGATAGTAACTCGTGGATAAGTTTATGCAGTTGCTTATGGGTTAACGAGTTGGTGATTTGAGTTGATGTTGACGTTTTCGGGAACTGATATTCTTTCAAGAAAGTTGGGCGTGAAGTAATTTATCACGTAACTGTTACGGCGTTAATAAACAGCATTATTCCGTAAATGAATCTGTTGACTTTACGTTCGAATCCTTACGGATGCATAAAATAGTGTACTTAACAGAGTAATTAAAATCGTACAAACCGATTCGACTTTCAAGAATTTCACCATTCGCATTATCTGAATAATTTACAATTTACGTCGCGAAAATTAAAATGCATATGAGATAAAATTAAGGTCAAAGTTAAACGTTGCTAATGCGGTGTTTTATCATTTGAACAGTAGTTACGAATTCGTTGCATAAGAGAATTTGTATATCTTAACATCGGTGAAACTCGAATGATTCAATTATGTTAATACAATGTGAGTCGAGGTTATTGATCACAAAAAATATAACATATTTGCATAACTGTTTTATTCTCTTTTTACTCGCATGTTTGTTTTCTCTACAGTCGTGTTTCGTCCGCAGTTAGAGGGACCCAACTTCCGGTTGCCAATTTTAATGTCGTATTCTTTTACCGATCAACCATAAGTTAAATCGTTTGTACGTGATTTTAAAAGTTATGTGGATGTTTTTAACGGAAGTGCTATAGTGTTGCAGTAACGTCAAAGTATTAAAATTTTCATTTAAATTTGTTAAATTTAAATTTGACTGTTATAAACATATTTAATAATTATTAAATAAATAATTTATATTTGTACTGGTCTGTAATTGTTTTCAAAGAATTATTTTGTGTTTTGAATTTTTTTGTTTAATCTTGTAAAAAATAAAAAAAAAAATTTTGGAATGAAGGAGGGATTTGATCTCTACTTATCGGAGTAGAAAGTAAGAACGTTGCTCCGATGGTAAAACTACTGTTGAAATTTTGGAATTAACATTGTACAAATTTAAGTCCATATTTCCAAATTTGTTACTTTATAATTTTTGAGATTATTTAATTTAACAATTTTGTTGTTATTAAGAGGTTTAAATTTTTAAGGATACAAAGTACCAAGTTTTCAAAAGTGAGAATTTACAAATTTCCTTTCTCTCAAATTTTCAATTTTATAAATTTACAAATTTTTAAATTTGCAAATTATTAACTTTATAAATTTGTAAATGTTTAAATTTCTGTATTTGAGGGTTTTTAGGTTAAAAAATTTCCAACTTCTCTAACTGAGAATTTGTTGAATTGTAAAATTAAAAATTTTCAAATTGCAAATTTAGATTTTTCAAATTTTCAACCGTTGTTCCATAAATATTGCAATATCGACAATTCTCCGTGCTCTTACAATTCCTAGTGCCATATAGCGAATACTTTACCTTTGATTTACGTTTAAGCATCAGATATCATTACCATCGTAAATGATCAAATTTTGATTCTATTAATTAATCAAAATACAATTAATATTAATTTGAAATCAATTAACATTGATAAAACCATAAAAATCAGTAAATGTACCTAATATTTCCCATCGTTACCTGTGGAGTACCATTAAGTATCCATATCGCTGCAATTACTAAATGCAGCAAATAATTTATTCCTAAAATATGCAAAAAAGCTTCAAAAACGAGTAACTCTAGTTAAAAGTGATTATTACTAGTAATTAGCCGAGTTAAAAGTGATATATTTTCTACAAAGTTCCATTAAAATTGTCGACCCGAGGTTGGACTTTTCCTGCAAGACATTTGTTCTTCGATGCCCCACTCGATAGGATTTGTTGCCCGCGGCTATATACAGCGACTCGTAATACCATCTCTACGTACAACGAACGTTACTGTCGGCTGACAAACATGATCCTCGAGAAAATCGTGTTCGCGATTCGAGAAACGACTGTATCGTCGACGACGACGTGGTACCTGTTCTGGACGTCCGTGTCGTCGGGAAGACGAAAAATTGGCACTTGTAACTTCGGTTTTACGTAATAAGTGTCTGCCGCGTCTAGACTTCTTCAAGGTTATGGTCCTCTGGAACCGTAACCACCATAAACAGTCGATTAAATATATTTTATAATTAAGACAAGTTTATTAAAATTCC